CTAGTTCAGTTCTAGTTCAGTTCTAGTTCAGTTCTAGTCAGTTCTAGTTCAGTTCTAGTCAGTTTCTAGTTCAGTTCTAGTTCAGTTCTAGTTCAGTTCTAGTTCAGTTTCTAGTTCAGTTCTAGTTCAGTTCTAGTTCAGTTCTAGTTCAGTTTCTAGTTCAGTTCTAGTTCAGTTCTGAGTTCAGTTCGTAGTTCCAGTTCTAGTTCAGTTCTAGTTTCTAGTTCAGTTCTAGTTCAGTTCGAAGTTCAGTTCTAGTTCAGTTCTAGTTCAGTTCTAGTTACAGTTCTAGTTCAGTTCTAGTTCAGTGCTAGTTCAGTTCTAGCTCAGTTCTAGTTCAGTTCTAGTTCAGTTCTAGTTCAGTTTTAGTTCAGTTCTAGTTCAGTCTAGGTCAGTTCAGTTCTAGTTCAGTTCTAGTTAGTTTCTAGTCAGTTCTAGTTCAGTTCTAGTTCAGTTCTAGTTTCAGTTCTAGTTCAGTTCTAGTTCCAGTTCCTAGTTCAGTTCTGAGTTCAGTTCGATTCAGTCTAGTTCAGTTCTAGTTCAGTTTCTAGTTCAGTTTCTAGTTCAGTTTCTAGTTCAGTTCTAGTTCAGTTTCTAGCCTCAGTTCTAGTTCACTTCTAGTTCAATGCTAGTTCACTTCTAGTTCACTTCTAGTTCACTTTCTAGTTCACTTCTAGTTCACTTCTAGTTCACTTCATACGTTCACTTCTAGTTCAGTTCTAGTTTCAGTTCTTAGTTCAGTCTAGTTCAGTTCTAGTCAGATCTAGTTCAGTTCTAGTTCAGTCTAGTTCAGTTGTAGTTCAGTTCTAGTTCAGTTTTAATTTCCACTCTATTTAACTGTGATGTATGTTTTGTTTCGACGCTCAGTCTATTCAAAGGTCTAATTCTCTCTGGCGAATATAATCCGGTAAGATAAATGCTTTCGTTATAGCTCTCGTATACTTTCCTAAAAATTTATTTTATGTCCACAAAACTCTTTAAGGAATATATAAATCTCGCATTTAGATATTTTAGAAAAATATGTACTTTTTATTTCAATAAATTATAGTATATTTGATTTGGGGTTATATGATCGATCTAGAGTCTAGACCGACTATTTTTTTGTTTGTTACTTATTATAAACTTTTTTTATTCACTTTCTCTCCTTAAGTCTTACTAAAATACCATTTTCCGATTTCAAAGTTACTCTTATATTCAAAATCGGATCAAATTCACTTTCCGGTACACAATCCTTGCGTGAATGATCATTAATACCGGGTGGCAAACCATCCTGGGCGGGTAAAATCTCATAGCGGCGTAGTATTAGAGAAAGTAAAGCTTTCAATTGATAGGTGGCAAATTTCTCAGCTAGAAAGGAGAACAAATATAATTGATATTGATAAAGAGTATAAAAGAGAGTAAATACCTATGCATCTTCTAGGACCAGCACTAAAAGGCACCGATTTATAGGCCTCTATGCCTATATTCTCATCTTTAGAGACATTAGCGAATCTCTCCGGTTTAAACTTACAAGGATCTTCGAAATATTTCTCATTATAACCCATGGCTATTAGGCACATTATCACTGTGGTTCTCTTACAAATTTGAGTACCATCTGTAAATAAGAGAGTTATTATATTAGGAATCTTAAACTTATTCTCCCTCGTGGACACTTACTGATATCTATAGCCTTGCGATTGGTACGTGCTATCAAGGGCACCGAGGGATACAATCTCAAGGTCTCTCTTAAAACCAATTCCAAATAGGACATTTGTTCCAATTGCTGTAATGAGGCCTCACATGTTTTAAATTCCTCTAACGTTTTTCCTTTAAATATTTCCCTTTGTTCTTCATATGCTTTTTGTTGTATCTCCGGATGACGAGATAATGTATATAAAGTAAAGGATAAGGCAGCTGCTGTAGGATCATGGCCCTTTAATTGAAATAAAAAAATATTTATAATTTAATATTAATTAAACATTTACGTTGAGGTTTAAAAAAAAAGTAAAGAGTAAATGTTAAATAATAATCTGTCATTTCATTCATTGGTTGATATCATACTGTGAATATAAATGTGGAGATTTCTTCAAAAATCTCGCTAGTTTTCAATTCTCTACCATCCAATTTGGCCTTTAAAAGGACATTTAAAAATGGTTTCAAGTGTGCTGGAGTTGCAGGCATGTCAGTTGTGTTGCTGGTGCTGTCGCTGGCAGCTTGCAATTGACGTCTTCGTTGCTCCACAATCTATTAATTAAAACATGAAAGGGTATTGTTGTGTAAAACATTTTTACGCATTTATTTGTATGTATATGTAAGTTTTTTGTGGGTTCTTTTAAATCCTTAAACAAGGATTTTAAGTAGGTTTTTTTATCATGTTGTTATTACTTACACGATTGATTTCGGTTTTTAAAGAACGCAGAGCTCTCCTTTGTTTGCCATAATATGGTGTTAAATGAAACAAAGTATCGAATCTTTTAACAATGCTAAAAGTACGTTCTTGTATAACATCACAAAGGCTAAAGGAGTAATGATAAAATTACAAGTATACAACGACATCGATACAGGATATGTGGGTTTAATGGTTGTTTGTTTAAATAAGTAAATAATTGGAAAAGAAAGTTAAAATTTGCTTTATTATTTACATTTGTATGGAAAAGTTTTTTTTTGGAGTCTTACTCTATAATGGCCTTCTGCATTTCAGATGGTTGATTGTCCAATGATTTGCTGGGTATACCAGTGGCGTTTTCTGGTTAAAAAGAAGAAATTAATTAAAGAAATTAACAAATTTGTTAAAACAAGAAAATATGAGAATGATTACTATTATAGCAAAAATTACATTGTTTACATTATTTACACAATAAAATTTATGTTAAAATTGTTTTAAATTCTTAATTTTGTTAAAATTATATGACAAAACCCAATAAATTTTGAAAATAAAACATTGTTTACATTGTTGACATTATGTAAATAACGTATTTAGTGTGTAAATTAAGTATGATTTCAGTATTTAATAAGAAAATTGTATTTAACTTAATAAATTAAAATTATTGAAATTGTTGACATGAGGTAAACAATGTAATTACTTTGTAATTTAAGTCATATTAGAATTACTGATAACAATCCTACATGAAACTCCATGAATTTGAATTATTGACATTGTTGACATGAGGTAAACAATGTAAAATTTTGGTAAATTAAGTAAAAATTTAATATTTAATAATAGGATTACTTTAAACTTTATAAATCTCAGAAATTTAACATAATATTTTCAATGTTGACACAAGGTAAATAATGTAAAAAATGGTAATTTATGTAAAATTTCAGCTTTAAACAACAAAATTACATTTAATTTATATTAATTCTCATTATTTACATAGTTGACACAAGGTAAACAATGTAAAAAAGTGTGGAACTAAGTCAAAATTAGACTTTTTATAACAAAATGACATTAAACTTAGTAAGCTCTGTAAAATCTCATTATTTACATTGTTGACACAAGGTAAACTATGTAAGAAATAGCTAATTAAGGTCAAAATTTGAGTTTTAAATAAAAAAATTATTATTTATTGTAATTAAAGTTAATAAATTGTCCCTATTTACATTGTTGACACAAGGTAAACAATGTAGAAAAGTAGTAAATTAGATCAAAATGAAATTTTTTAATACTAAAATTTCTTTTAACATAATAAACTCTATAAATAGTCATTACTTACATTGTTGACACTAGGTAAACAATGTAAAAACTCGGCAACTAAAGTCAAATTTCCTTGTTATGTAATTAATTTTAACTAATCTTAATAAGTTCTCATTAATTACATTCTTGAAACAAGGTAAACAATAGAAAACATTTCTAATTTAACATTGTTGACACCAGGTAAACCATGTAAAATCATCGTAAAATACTTATATTGTAATTATAATTAGAAAATAATCAAATTACTTGTAAATAAAGTATTGTTTACATTGTTGACATAATGTAAACAATATAATAATATGGGTAAAATATGCTAAATTTCGATTTCTTTTAGTAATTTATCATAAAACTTCATACTATTTCTTTATTTACATTGTTGACATAAGGTAAATAATGTAAAAATTTCCTAAAATACTTATATTTTTCAAAATTTATTGTTTTAAAATTAAATCCTTTGTAAATAAAGCGTTCTTTACATTGTTGCCATAAGGTAAACAATGTAATAAAATGGGTAAAATATGTAAAACTTCAATTTATATTAGTAATTTATCATTATACATCATACATTTTTTTTAATTACATTGTTGACATAAGGTAAATAATGTAAAAATTTCCTTAAATACTTAAATTTTTCAAAATAATTGTTCAAATATTAAATACTTTGTAAATAAAGCATTCTTTACATTGTTGACATTAGGTAAAAAAATGAAATAAAGTGTTTACTTTATAGAAAATTTAATTTTTTTTATAACAAATTTGAATTAAAATCAAAAATTCCTTATTATTTACCTAGTTGACATAATGTAAACAATGTAATAAAGTGATTAATTTATGAAAAATTACAATTTAATGTAGAAAAATCACATAAACTATTATTATTTACATTGTTGACATAATGTAAAATATGTAAATATTCAGAATTTTAGGTAAAATATCACTTTGCTGTAGTCAAATCACATAAAACATACTAAACTATCGTTTTCTACTTTGTTGGCATGAGGTAAACAATTTAAAAACTTTGTAAAATATGTAAATTTTTAACAATATTGTTTGGAAATGTAAAACTTGGTATAAAAATATAATTTTAGACATTATTGACCTAATGTAAACAATGTAAAAAGTGAGTAATTTATATAAAACTTGAATTTTTGTATAGTATAATCAAATATTCAAACAAAAAGTTATTAATTCAAGCTTTACCTTCCCCCCCTTTTCCATACTTACCACACACAATATCCAGCGTACATTTCCTAATCAATTGCTGTATATCGAACATTTCACCCTTTGCGGCATAATCCTGCAATTTTTCTACGAATTTATTGCCAGTTTTATGAACCACCTGCATATAGCCATCGATGGCAGGGCCATCAAATGCAGGCATATAAAGCTTTTGATGTTTTAACCAACGAGCACCGGAGCTAGTTAATAAACCATCACCTAGCCAGGGGCGTAAAAACGAATATAAATGTTCTTTATACAATAAAGCGGAGCTGGAGAGCATATTCTAAAAATAATAGAAATAGGGGAATAAGCAAAATCATAAAAAAGCAAATTTAAATACATGTGATACATATATTACATAAATACAACATATGAGTATCTATGTATGTGTATTGGTAATTAACTTACCTGTATTTCCGCTGGATCACTCAGCATGACATGATATTGAAAAAATACTAATGAACGGAAGCCTTGAAAATCATATTTCCGGCAATATTGTAAAATCTTTTTGGGATATTCTAAAAATATAAACAAGTAAATACACTAATACATATACAAACACAGTTAAAAGGTAAATAAGCTAAATTAAAAGTTTTTTTCTAGCTTTTATAGCAAAGAGGGTTTATGGTGGTAAACAGCAGTAAAATAATTTTGTGTTTTTTTTTTATTTCAAATTTAAATTGTGTTTAAATTTTTATTTTCGGTTTGGTATGTTTTAATCTTTTGGTTTACCACACTTTTTATGGCCATAAAATAATTTGCTTTTAAAATTGCGTTAAGGAATTTTAATATTTAATTATCGCTTAAGTTTGGGGTAATTTCAAAGTTTTTATTTTGCAGCAGTTTGGAAAGAAATTATAGCTGAGGGTAGTATTCCTTACAATTCATATGAAAAGAAAATTTAGTAAACATTTTCAATAGTGAAAAATTTTACTCAAAACTTGTCTCTTTACAGAAAAACTGTGTCTGATCGTGACCCATTTTCTATACGAAAACGGTGTCTGATCGAGACTTAAATTCTATAAGAAAACTGTGTCTGATCTAGACTTAAATTCTATACGAATATTGTGTCTGATCAAGACTCAATTTCTATACGAAAACTGTGTCTGATCGAGACACATTTTCTATACGAAAACTGTGTCTTATCGAGACTTAAATTCTATATGAAAACTGTGTCTGATCGAAACTTAAATTCTATAAGAAAATTGTGTCTGATCGAGACTAAATTTCTATATGAAAACTGTGTCTGATCGAGACAGATTTTCTATACGAAAACTGTGTCTGATCAAGACACATCTTTTATACGAAAACTGTGTCTGATCGAGACACATTTTCTATGCGAAAACTGTGTCTGATCGAGACACATTTTTTATACGAAAACTGTGTCTGACCGAAACAGATTTTCTATATGAAAACTGTGTCTGATCGAGACAAAATTTCTATACGAAAACTGTGTCCGATCGACACACAATTTCTATACGAAAACTGTGTCCGATCGACACACAATTTCTATACGAAAACTGTGTCTAATCGAGACACAATTTCTATGCGAAAACTGTGCCTGATCGTGACTTAAATTCTATACGAAATCTAAGTCTGATCGAGACACATTTTCTATGCGAAAACCTTGTCTGATCGTGATACATTTTCTATACGAAAACTGTGTCTGATCGAGACACATTTTCTATGCGAAATCTAAGTCTGATCGAGACACCTTTTCTATGCTAAAACCTTGTCTGATCGTGATACTTTTTCTATACGAAAATTGTGTCTGATCGACATTCTATTTTTCTCTAGTTATAAGTACACTATCTGTATTTGTACTCACCATCCGGCTTTAAACCAAATTGAAATAGATTACCCACAAATGGATAGGGTGTGGGTCCCGGTATCATTTCCATTATACCCGCTACATGATCAATATAATTGAATATTTTTATGCCTTTAAAAAACAACACTGATAACACTACAATGGCTATAGCCAGTAAAAACATTTCCATATTTAAATCGTTTCTTTTTTTATTAATTCTTTTGATTCTTAAATTTTCACAAAACTTTACCCGTTACGCGGCAAACTTAAACTGAAACCTTTTGAAGAAAATGTTAAACAAATAAATTAATTTCAAATACACCCCACACCAGGCGGCTACTAACAAGTACTTCTTGTCATTAAATACAATATAAGTATTTAATTATTATTAGTTTGTTTTGGATGGAGATAAGCCAAAACAAAAACAAATCTTATCAAATTTATTTAGAGATAATATCAAACAATATAGGAAGAGTATTGATCTAGTACTAACTAAATGTTAGAAAATAATTATAATTATTTAGAATTTTTTATTTACCATTGACTCATTATTATAGGTTTATTTAAGTGTTTAAGTTTTTTTGTCTCTTCAACAGTTTTGTTTAAGTTGTATATTAGTACTATCGATTTTAACTGATATTGTTTATATTGAACGGTACAAAGTTCAAATTATTCATATTTTGGAACGAATCGTATGTTTTTTAGTCTCTATGTCAATACGAAAAGAGTAGTAGTGAAATATTGTCTCATTTTGATAACAGTTTGGGTGAAAAGCGTAATTATTAAAAGATATTATATTTATAGAAATGAGTACGTGTGTGGGCTACTGGGTAATACAAATTGGACAATGAGCAATCTGACGTACTATAGCTAGGAACTGATATATATGGCTAGATTAAAGTGAAAAGGTGATAGGTTGACTTAATAGAAATGACTTTCTTAAGATTTTTATACCCTACACCATTATAGTGGGTAGGGAATAAATGCGTTTATGCTGATTTTTGTAACACCCAAAAATATTGATCCTACACCCATCTTAAAGTATAGCAATCGGTTCAGAATCACCTTTTTTAAACTAGATCTGAAAGATGAGGATGTAACAAGTTCTACAGTGGGTCCATTGGAAACACTAGAGACCATGGAGCTCATAAAGGCCGCTTTGCCCAAGCCATTGCATCTATCCGTATATGGTTTGTCTGAGGCATCGGTCACAGAAATTCCTTTTTAAGAGTAAATGTAAACTATTATAAAATTAAAATTATAATAACAACAATCTGAAATAAAGATACAAATAAACAAAATTTCTAAGCCTTTTATTCAGTTCAAGATCTGAAACAATTTCACTTCAGTTTTAGATCAATTCTCTTCAGTGCTAGTTCAGTTTTAGTTCTGTCATGGTTCCGTTCTTGCCTTAGCTAGCAAATAATTTGCTAAATTGTTTCAGAATTGAGCTAGGTCCAATATTTGATAAAAATTACAGTACAAGAATTTTTAATCAAATATTCCACGAAATTTCATTTCCCATCATAAAATCGGTTTGAAAATTTGTTCGGAAATTTTGATGAAATATTGGTCTCAGGTCCACTATGAGTTCATTTTCTGATTCAGCTTAAGTACTAATATTGAATGTAAAATTTTTGCAACTCTAGGCCGCAAGACCCCGATATAATACCACAAATTGCTTAAAATAAAAATTTTTCGGGAATTTTGATTAAATATTGGTCCCAGGTCCATTCTGAGTCCATTTTTGGATTCAGCATGGGATTTGATGAATGTTGGACCTAGGACCCATACTACAACAAAATTTAAAATTTATTTTTTTGTTTGCTTTAATCTCGAAAACTACTGGCCGAATCTGGCTGGAAACTTACCTTTCTGGTAAATTCGCACGCTGAATTCGAAAATGGACTCAGAATGGACCTAGGTCCATTGCTTCATCAAAATTCCCGAAATTTTTTTACTTTGAACAATTTGTGCTGTTATTTCGGGACCTTGAGGCCGAGGGCAACTGAAATTTGTCATTCAAAACTAAAATCTATGCTGAATCCGAAAATGGTTTCAGAATTGAGCTAGGTCCAATATTTCATAAAAATTTCAAAACAAAAATTTTGAACCAAATATCCCACGAAATTTTGATTTCACATCAAGATTTTGCAAATATGTGAGGTTCTTGTCTTGGCTAGCAAAGTTTTCAATAGTCAAGACAAGAACCCCCAAATATAGAGGAAATTTTGAGATAACAATAAATTTGGTGGTAAAATCGGTCGGAAATTCTGTTCGGAAATTTTGATGAAATATTGGTCTCAGGTCCACTTTGAGTTCATTTTCGGATTCATCTTAAATACTAATCTTGAATGTCAAACTTTTGGAGCTGTAAGCCTCAAGACCCCGTTATCATACCACAAATTGCTTAAAATAAAATTTTTTCGGGAATTTTGATGAAATATTGGTCCCAGGTCCATTCTGAGTCCATTTTTGGATTCAGCATGGGATTTTACCAGAAAGGTGAGTTTCCAGCCAGATTCGGCCAGTAGTTTCCGAGTTTGAAGCAAAAATATAAAAAAAAAATAAGAAATTTTGATGAATGTTGGACCTAGGACCCATACTACAGCAAAATTTTAAATTTATTTTTTTGTCTTCATTAATCTCGAAAACTACTGGCCGAATCTGGCTGGAAACTCAGCTTTCTGGTAAATTCGCACGCTGAATCCGAAAATGGACTCAGAATGGACCTAGGTCCATTGTTTCATCAAAATTCCCGAAATTTTTTTACTTTGAACAATTTGTGCTGTTATTTCGGGATCTTGAGGCCGAGGGCAACTGAAATTTGTCATTTAAAACTAAAATCTATGCTGAATCCGAAAATGGTTTCAGAATTGAGCTAGGTCCAATATTACATAAAAATTTCAGAGCAAAAATTTTGAATCAAATATCCCACGAAATTTTTATTTCACATCAAGATTTTCCAAATATGTAAGGTTCTTGTCTTGGCTAGCAAAGTTTTCAATAGTCAAGACAAGAACCGCCAAATATAGAGGAAATTTTGAGATAACAATAAATTTGGTGGTAAAATCGGTCGGAAATTCTGTTCGGAAATTTTGATGAAATATTGGTCTCAGGTCCACTTTGAGTTCATTTTCGGATTCATCTCAAATACTAATCTTGAATGTCAAACTTTTGGAGCTGTAAGCCTCAAGACCCCGTTATCATACCACAAATTGCTTAAAATAAAAATTTTTCGGGAATTTTGATGAAATATTGGTCCCAGGTCCATTCTGAGTCCATTTTTGGATTCAGCATGGGATTTTACCAGAAAGGTGAGTTTCCAGCCAGATTCAGCCAGTAGTTTCCGAGTTTCAAGTAAAAATTAAAAAAAAATCAGAAATTTTGATGAATGCTGGACCTAGGACCCATACTACAACAAAATTTAAAAATTTATTTTTTTGTTTGCTTTAATCTCGAAAACTACCGGCCGAATCTGGCTGGAAACTCACCTTTCTGGTAAATTCACACGCTGAATTCGAAAATGGACTCAGAATGGACCTAGGTCCATTGCTTCATCAAAATTCCCGAAATTTTTTTACTTTGAACAATTTGTGCTGTTATTTCGGGACCTTGAGGCCGAGGGCAACTGAAATTTGTCATTCAAAACTAAAATCTATGCTGAATCCGAAAATGGTTTCAGAATTGAGCTAGGTCCAATATTTCATAAAAATTTCAAAACAAAAATTTTGAACCAAATATCCCACGAAATTTTGATTTCACATCAAGATTTTGCAAATATGTGAGGTTCTTGTCTTGGCTAGCAAAGTTTTCAATAGTCAAGACAAGAACCCCCAAATATAGAGGAAATTTTGAGATAACAATAAATTTGGTGGTAAAATCGGTCGGAAATTCTGTTCGGAAATTTTGATGAAATATTGGTCTCAGGTCCACTTTGAGTTCATTTTCGGATTCATCTTAAATACTAATCTTGAATGTCAAAGTTTTGGAGCTGTAAGCCTCAAGACCCCGTTATCATACCACAAATTGCTTAAAATAAAAATTTTTCGGGAATTTTGATGAAATATTGGTCCCAGGTCCATTCTGAGTCCATTTTTGGATTCAGCATGGGATTTTACCGGAAAGGTGAGTTTCCAGCCAGATTCGGCCAGTAGTTTCCGAGTTTGAAGCAAAAATATAAAAAAAAAAAATAAGAAATTTTGATGAATGTTGGACCTAGGACCCATACTACAGCAAAATTTTAAATTTATTTTTTTGTCTTCATTAATCTCGAAAACTACTGGCCGAATCTGGCTGGAAACTCAGCTTTCTGGTAAATTCGCACGCTGAATCCGAAAATGGACTCAGAATGGACCTAGGTCCATTGTTTCATCAAAATTCCCGAAATTTTTTTACTTTGAACAATTTGTGCTGTTATTTCGGGATCTTGAGGCCGAGGGCAACTGAAATTTGTCATTTAAAACTAAAATCTATGCTGAATCCGAAAATGGTTTCAGAATTGAGCTAGGTCCAATATTACATAAAAATTTCAGAGCAAAAATTTTGAATCAAATATCCCACGAAATTTTTATTTCACATCAAGATTTTCCAAATATGTAAGGTTCTTGTCTTGGCTAGCAAAGTTTTCAATAGTCAAGACAAGAACCGCCAAATATAGAGGAAATTTTGAGATAACAATAAATTTGGTGGTAAAATCGGTCGGAAATTCTGTTCGGAAATTTTGATGAAATATTGGTCTCAGGTCCACTTTGAGTTCATTTTCGGATTCATCTCAAATACTAATCTTGAATGTCAAACTTTTGGAGCTGTAAGCCTCAAGACCCCGTTATCATACCACAAATTGCTTAAAATAAAAATTTTTCGGGAATTTTGATGAAATATTGGTCCCAGGTCCATTCTGAGTCCATTTTTGGATTCAGCATGGGATTTTACCAGAAAGGTGAGTTTCCAGCCAGATTCAGCCAGTAGTTTCCGAGTTTCAAGTAAAAATTAAAAAAAAATCAGAAATTTTGATGAATGCTGGACCTAGGACCCATACTACAACAAAATTTAAAAATTTATTTTTTTGTTTGCTTTAATCTCGAAAACTACCGGCCGAATCTGGCTGGAAACACACCTTTCTGGTAAATTCGCACGCTGAATTCGAAAATGGACTCAGAATGGACCTAGGTCCATTGCTTCATCAAAATTCCCGAAATTTTTTTACTTTGAACAATTTGTGCTGTTATTTCGGGACCTTGAGGCCGAGGGCAACTGAAATTTGTCATTCAAAACTAAAATCTATGCTGAATCCGAAAATGGTTTCAGAATTGAGGTAGGTCCAATATTTCATAAAAATTTCAGAACAAAAATTTTGAACCAAATATCCCACGAAATTTCATTTCGAATCAAGAGTTTTCTTATATTTGAGGTTCTTGTGTTGGCTATTAATTTTGTTTAATAGTCAAGGCAAGAACCTTCAGCAATGAACCTTGAGACCTTTAATTTAATCAAAATTGCGGATTTTTTTTAAACTCGTGACCTAAAGTGTCTAGAAACTGTCCGTTTTTGTATCTAATAAAGCTTAGAATCCTGTAAAAACACTCCTTTCAACTTACCTCTGAATTTTTAGATTTTCCAGGAATTAAACTCTTTTCATTCTGATATTTAATAAAATTATGCAATAATTTTTCTTTATTTAATATTTAAACTTAATACTAGTACATTTGTAATTAATATTAACAATAAAATTATGTAGTTATTTAATTAATTGAAATAAAATCCTTATAAATAATAAAAAATAACATAAAAATTCTTATCTTAAATATAAAGTATACCAAGCGGCTCAGAATCACTTTCTGAGTCGATTAAGCTATGTCTGTCCATCCGTCTGTCTGTCTATCTATCTGTGTGTCTGTCTGTCTGTGCGTCCATGTAAAAATAATTTGTTGAAATTTTGCATGAACGCCTCTTATGGTCCAGGAACAAATGCTGTTGAAAATACCCTTCAGAAAATGACTCGAATGTCCACCATTCACTAATAAACATTAACTATATAAATACAAGAATTGACATACTTAATTTAACTGTTTATTATCTTTTAATTTTATATACCACTATAGAAGGTCAGATCAATTACATGGATTATTCTGAAGATGAATCTTTGAAAAAGTCTTACCACTACAGCTAAGACACATCCATCTACTCTATGAAGAACTGCAAAGGGTGATAATATAAAAAGTGATGACGCCTTCCTGGATTTATTGATAGAGTCACAGCGTTTCTATCCTATTGTACCCATAATAGCCATATTTACTAAAAAGGATTATACTAAGTAAGTTTCATGAGCTTCTTATAAAATATAATAAATGCTGATGTGTTTCTATATCTTTTCAGATGGCAAATTGATACTTAAGTTACTACTTCAATCGTTTTCATCATGTCCTTGTATTAGAATAAAAAAATTATTTCCACACCTTAACCGGATCGCTTTGATTTGTCACCAAACATGGAAAGACAAAAGCCTTTTGAATATGTACCCTTTAGGGCGGGTACTTGTAATTGTATTGGACAACAATTTGCTTTATTAGAAATTTAAAATACATTTAAGATTAAAAGAAAACAACTAATAAAAACATTAGTTTAAATGTTTAAACTGTAACTAAAAGATATTTGTTTATGCAACAGATACTTTTATTGTATAGAAAATGAGTTTTGATAAATAAAAGTTGGCCAATAAATGTTATTTCAATGAAATTAAACCAATTAATTTGTGTTTTATTTGAATTTTCAAACAAAATAACATACAATTTATAATAACAAAGAGACATTTCTCATTTACCCAACCTCACAAAAAACAATCTGGTAACTCTGGAAAAATATTTTTTTCGAATCTTTTATACACATGCTTTCAAAAGGTACAACTCTGATCGAAATCGGTTCAATAGTTTTGAAGTTATAACGTTTTAAAAATATGTTTCTAATTTACACAAATTCCTCTAATCTGGCAACTCTGGTAAACAAATTTGTCTCGCTAGAAGTACCTTGATTCAATACCTTTTAATTGCATCTAATTTCACTCAAAACGCTTGTAGGATTTCAAAGTTATACATATTTAGAGAAAGTATGCACAATATTAACAATTTCAAAAATTTGGCAACTCTGGTGAAATAATTTTTTCATAAAACAGATAGTGTAAATTAAAACCTACCGTTTGACTCTAGTTTCACTTTAATCACATAAATACTTTCCGAGTTATAGCAATTTTAAAAATCCCTTATTTCGCTTAATTTTCCAAAACACGGCTACCCTGTCACGACATTGGTTCAGCGCCATCTATTGGTGGGGTACATGGTTTTTCAGCGAACGAAAAAATGTGTCCTTCAGACACAAATTTTCAAAACGCTATAACTCGAAAACTACTCAACCCATATTAATAAGATTTATTTCATATGAAAGGTGAGATATTGTAGATTTTAAAAAATTAGTTTACCAGAGTTGCCACATAGTTATTTTTTGTATACGGTTAAATTTATTACTGACTTTTATAAATCCATATATATTCTATGTTATTAGACTTAGGACTTTAAAATTATAGTTTTTGAAAAGCAAATCTTTCGCTCAAAGCACCCAAAACTTTTCCCGCCAGAGTTGCCAAGTAGTTGGAAGAAATAACGCGTTTTTTAGAATTGTTAAAATAGTGAAATTTTAATTAGTAATGAAAATTTCTTGGACTTAAAAAGCAATGTTCACCTTGAAAATTTTTAAATAATTGGATATATTACATACTGGCAACCCTGGTTGTCTTAGTTATAGTAAAAATGAGAATCTATATCACATTGACAATAGTATCATAGTTGTAGTTTTGCAGATATGAAAGCTCAAATAAGTCTGACAAATAATCCAATTTTTTATATTACATCACGTGGCAACCCTGGAAATCTAAGTCTTACGGTTTAGCTTGTAAGCTCTTCTCTTCAGTAACCATTATTTGAAGTCCTAAAATCAGATTATATAAAATTAACAGCGATTTCAAATAATATTTCTTTCTCTTAACAATATAAGAAAAACAATAGCCTGGCAACCCTGGCAAAATAAATTTCATAAATTTTGAATTCCTTCCCTACCAGTTCATGTAAAATTTATCCAAATCGCTACAGTAGTTTTCGAGCTATAGCGTTTTTATGTTTAGTGTCTGCATGTCACATTTTTTCCATTTGCCGAAAAACCATGTGCCCCACCAATAGATGGCGCTGTAACGATGTAGTAACAGGGTTACCAACTTTTGAAAATTGGGAAATTTTAGGGATTTTTAAAATTGTTATAACTTTGAATGTTCTTGAGCGATTTGAGTGAAAGTGGAGTCAATCGTTAGCTTATAATTTAAACTATTAGTTTTTCACAAAAACTATTTAACCAGGGTTGCCAAAGTTCTTTAATTTGCAATGCTATTATAACATTATTTGAAGTCTTGTAACATCGAAACTACCAAACCGATTTAAGCAGTTTTTTCGTTTTCTGAAATATAATGTAGCCCAAAAGTACCTCATGCTCAACCGATATCGTGACAGGGTTGCCGTGTTTTGAAAAATTACAAAATATCAGGTTTTATTAAATTTGCTATAACTCGAAAAGTATTTAAGTGATTTATATGAAACTAGAGTCAAACGTTAGGTTTTAAATAAGACTATCTAATTTATGAAAAAAATTTGACAACAGGGTTGCCAAACGTTTGAATTTTCTTGTCAAATTTAAACTTTCTTTAAATATGTACAACTTTGAAACTACATAAGCGTTTTGATTGAAATTAGCTGCAATCAAAAGCTATTGACTAAGGCTACTTGTTATAAAACAAAATTGGTTTACCAGTGTTGCCAGACTATGGGAAATTAGTGGCATATTTTTAAAACGTTAGAACTTTGAAACTAATGAACCGATTTCGATCAGTTTGGTGTGAATTGGTAGCGTGTATATGAAGATTCGAAAATATCATAATATAGATATTATGGTTTTAAGTTATTATAATTTGTTTCTGATTTGTTGTGGTTGTTAGTCAGTCAGATTTTCAAAAGCAAAACTAAATTATCGGATGACGTTTTCATATAGAAAGTATATTTCGTTTAAACACAGTGGATAAAAGATAAAGCAGTGCTAATAATGCAGATCACTGAAAAATTTGTTAAATGGTAATGCAGTGTTCAACATATTATATTCTTAAGTTTTTAAGCATAATTTTAGGATGAAAATAAACGATCTTTACAGATAACAATAAACAAAATTTTTGTTATTTAGAACAGAAAAATAAACATTATTAATTTTTTTTTTAGATATTTTGTTGTTACTTTAATAATATAATAAAAATAATATTCAGTTGTTTCTTATCGTAGCGAAGACAAAATATTAAAAAAATGTTAATAAAAATATAAACTTTTACAGAAATATGTTAGTTCATATTTTGTGCTACACTTGCACGGTTTAAATTTCGGGACTGCATCTTATTAATAAATTGTTTAAAAGATTTTAGACATTTTCTAAAATGTTTATATTTATATTATTGGTGGCTTGTATACTACCTCTAATATATTTAGAGTTAAAAACATATAAAATAAAACAAATTGTAAAACATACATCGGGTCCCAAGACATTACCATTGGTGGGCAATGCCCATCAAACAGGGAAAACGCCAAGTGGTAATTAAACAAGTTTATATGAATAAGTTTATAAATTTTAAATTTTTTTAACAAGTGATTTAAAAGTTTATAAAAAATGTATAATACTATCACAGACAGTTGTCAGCCAGACCAAATTTTTTAAAAACTCATAATTTTGATTTTCTTACTTATCTCTAAATTATTTATAAACAAATTAGAAAAAACTAATTTTTAAAATCTATTTTTGTTTATCTGTTATCACATGAATTGCAATTTTTAAACAATATTATTAACAATAAATAAATTTGGATTGAATTTGCTTTTTGAGATAACAATTGGTCAACAACTGATTAAATTAACATTTCAATTTAATAGCTCAAATTACTGCCCAGCAAAAAAAGACGTGCAAAAAAAGTAGTAAATGCATGGGTTGAACTGATAATGAACTGGTTCATATTTAGGGGAAACATGCATGATTTTAACATTAGCGTGTCATTGGCATGCATGGGTTCGTATTTGCAAAAATAGTTCGTCATTTAAATGAGTTCTTGTAACCAATGAATATTCGATGATTCTCAAGCGAATTTTCATTGGTGCACTATATTTATTTAAAAATGCATTAATGGTACTTCGATTTAATTATCAATATTTAAATAATTTTTTTGAGTGATATTGACAAAAATAGAATAAGATAAAACATAACTAACTGATTTTGATTGGATTTAAATTCATGCAGAGGAAAAATACCCATTGTGTTTTAAAATCCGTTAAGCAGTCTTGGTTTTTTCCTTCTCTTATTAATGGACTTAATATTACTAATTTTAACAAAAATCTAATAAAAAAATTAATGTCATTTTTAATCTTTATTGTATGAAATGCACGTTTTCGTTAAATCTCCTAAGATAATACCAAATTACAGTAAAATATTACAATTCCTATAGTAGAGTTACATGAGTGAATTTGGGTGCATTTTTCATGCCTTCACTGATGGCAAATTTATTAGAATTTAGGCATGTATTTAAAACGCATTAAATAGAATACTTACTAAAGAAATCATGAAAATATCCCTTCTTCTTTAACAACTTCAAAATTTTTTTGCTGGGTGGTAATTAAAACTTATTAACAAAATTATAAAAATTTTAATCTTGTTTTATTTAATAACAAATTTTTTGCTTATTCACTTACACACTAACAATGATGATTGCCAAGATGTACTTGCAAGCGTTTCATCATTAATTAATTACTTGCATGTTCATTGTTTATTATTTAGCATTTTTAAAATTCAGAACACGCTCAGAATCAACAAAATGCATTTGTTTCAAATAATAAAAAACACAATTTTGTTTAAATGTTTAATTTGTTTAGAGTACACCAACGGAGTTTGAAATTGACATAATGTGTTTAAAAGATATTAAAACAAAAAATGTAATTACCGATCGACCAGAAAAGTAATATGTTCTTCGTATTTAAATAAAGTTTATACAATATCAGAAATTTCAAATGTTTGGCAACTCTATTGACAAATTTTTTGTTCTAAATCAAATAGCCTAAATAGTACCCTAGCACTTGACTCCAGTTTCATTTAAATCCCTTCAATACTTTCAGAGTTATAGCAACTTTAAAAATCCCTTATTTCGCTTAATTTTCCAAAATACGGCAAACCCCGTCATTTCTTAATTTTCCCAGAATTTTCACAACCAGAGCTGCCACATTGCAATAAAGTAATATTACGTAACATTTTTTAAGCTTAACGTTAAGTCCATGAAATTTGTATTCATAATTAAAATTACACTATTATAACCAATTTTAAAAACTGCGTTTTAACTTACAACTACTTGACAACTCTGGCAGGAAAAGTTTTGGGTGCTTTGAGCGAAAGATTTGCTTTTGGAAAACTATAACTTTAAAGTTTTAAATCTAAAAACATAGAATGTATGTGGATTCATAGAAGACAATAACAAATTTAACTCTATGTAAAAAATAACTATGTGGCAACTCTGGTAAACTAATTTTTTCAAATCTACAATATCTCACCTTTCATACAAAATAAATCTCATTGACATGGGTTCAGTAGTTTTCGAGTTATAGCGTTTTGAAAGTTTGTGTCTAAAGGACGCATTTTTTCGTTTGCTGAAAAACCATGTACCCCACCAATAGATGGCGCTGAACCAATGTCGTGACAGGGTAGCCGTGTTTTGGAAAATGGAAAAAACAAGGGATTTTAAAAATTGCTATAACTCTGAAAGTATTTATGTGATTTAAGCGAGATTTGAGTCAAACGGTAGCTTTTAATTTGGGCTATCTGTTTTAAGAAAAACCTTTTCTACCAGAGTTGCCAAATTTTTGAAATTTTTTATTTTATATAAAATTTTTTTAAATATGTAAAAATTGGAAAGTATTTAAGTGTTCTGAATATAATTATATGCAATCAAATGCTATTGACCAAAGCTAACTTTTTTAAAAAAATTTCTTTTACCAGTGTTGCCAGACTGAAGGAATCTGAGTTAATAAGACACAATTTTCAAAACGTTATAACTCCTAAATTACTGAAGCGATTGCGATGAGATTTGTGTTGGATAGTAGCGTGTATATGAGAGTTCAAAAAATTTCTTTTGCCAGAGTTAATTTTATTAGTTAGGTTGGATAAATGAAAAATATCACTCTGCAAACAATTGCCTAGACTAAGAATATACAATAGACTAGGTAAAGGACTATACTTTTTACTAGACTGTAGTCTAGACTAGACTATAGACTAGACCATAGACTAAACTATAGACTAGACTATAGACTAGACTATGGACTAGACTATAGACTAGACTATAGACTAGACTATAGACTAGAGTATAGACTAGAGTATAGACTAATCTATGGACTAGACTATAGACTAGACTATAGACTAGACTATAGACTAGACTAGACTATAGACTAGACTATAGACTAGACTATAGACTAGACTATAGACTAGACTATAGACTAGACTATAGACTAGACTATAGACTAGACTATAGACTAGACTATAGACTAGACTATAGACTAGACTATAGACTAGACTATAGACTAGACTATAGACTAGACTATAGACTAAATAGACTAGGACTATAGACTAGACTATAGACTAGACTATAGACTAGACTATAGACTAGACTATAGACTAGACTATAGACTAGACCATAGACTAGACTATAGACTAGACTATACTTTTTACTAGACTGTAGTCTAGACTAGACTATAGACTAGACCATAGACTAGACCATAGACTAAACTATAGACTAGACTACAGACTAGACTATAGACTAGACCTATAGACTAGACTATAGACTAGAATATAGACTAGACTGTAGACTAGACTATAGACTAGACTACAGACTAGACTATAGCTAGACATAGTAGACTATAGACTAGACTATAGACTAGACTATAGACTAGACTATAGACTAGACTATAAGACTAGACTATAGACTAGACTATAGACTAGACTAACTAGATATGACTAGACTATAGACTAGACTAACGACTAGACTATAGACTAGACTATAGACTAGACTATAGACTAGACTATAGACTAGACTATAGACTAGACTATAGACTAGACTATAGACTAGACTATAGACTAGACTATAGACTAGACTATAGACTAGACTATAGACTAGACTATAGACTAGACTATAGACTAGACTATAGACTAGACTATAGACTAGACTATAGACTAGACTATAGACTAGACTATAGACTTAGACTATAGACTAGACTATAGACTAGACTATAGACTAGACTATAGACTAGACTATAGACCTAGACTATAGACTAGACTATAGACTAGAACTATAGACTAGACTATAGACTAGACTATAGATAGACTATAGACTAGACTATAGACTAGACTATAGACTAGACTATAGACTAGACTATAGACTAGACTATAGACTAGACTATAGACTAGACTATAGACTAGACTATAGACTAGACTATAGACTAGCACTATAGACTAGACTATAGACTAGACTATAGACTAGACTATAGACTAGACTATAGACTAGACTATAGACTAGACTATAGACTAGACTATAGACTAGACTATAGACTAGACTATAGACTAGACTATAGACTAGACTATAGACTAGACTAGACTAGACTATAGACTAGACTATAGACTAGACTATAGACTAGACTATAGACTAGACTATAGACTAGACTATAGACTAGACTATAGACTAGACTATAGACTAGACTATAGACTAGACTATAGACTAGACTATAGACTAGACTATAGACTAGACTATAGACTAGACTATAGACTAGACTATAGACTAGACTATAGACTAGACTATAGACTAGACTATAGACTAGACTATAGACTAGACTATAGACTAGACTATAGACTAGACTATAGACTAGACTATAGACTAGACTATAGACTAGACTATAGACTAGACTATAGACTAGACTATAGACTAGACTATAGACTAGACTATAGACTAGACTATAGACTAGACTATAGACTAGACTATAGACTAGACTATAGACTAGACTATAGACTAGACTATAGACTAGACTATAGACTAGACTATAGACTAGACTATAGACTAGACTATAGACTAGACTATAGACTAGACTATAGACTAGACTATAGACTAGACTATAGACTAGACTATAGACTAGACTATAGACTAGACTATAGACTAGACTATAGACTAGACTATAGACTAGACTATAGACTAGACTATAGACTAGACTATAGACTAGACTATAGACTAGACTATAGACTAGACTATAGACTAGACTATAGACTAGACTATACTATAGACTAGACTATAGACTAGACTATAGACTAGACTATAGACTAGACTATAGACTAGACTATAGACTAGACTATAGACTAGACTATAGACTAGACTATAGACTAGACTATAGACTAGACTATAGACTATACTAGACTATAGACTAGACTATAGACTAGACTATAGACTAGACTATAGACTAGACTATAGACTAGACTATAGACTAGACTATAGACTAGACTATAGACTAGACTATAGACTAGACTATAGACTAGACTATAGACTAGACTATAGACTAGACTATAGACTAGACTATAGACTAGACTATAGACTAGACTATAGACTAGACTAGACTAGACTATAGACTAGACTATAGACTAGACTATAGACTAGACTAGACTATACTATAGACTAGACTATAGACTATACACTAGACTATACACTAGACTATAGACTAGACTATAAACTAGACTATAAACTAGACTATAAACTAGACTATAGACTAGACTATAGACAAGACTATAGACTAGACTATAGACTAAATTATAAGCTAGACTATAGACTAAATTATAAGCTAGACTAAGTATAGACTAGACTATAAACATTTTACTGCAGATACAATAAAATACTAGACTATAGATTACTCTTTAACTAGATTATACTTTTTACTAGATTTTAATTTAAACTATTGACTAGACTATAAACGTTACTACAGATACTATTGAAAAACTGACAGTCATAGTATTAAACTTGTTCAACGCAATTTTTATACCAAATTCAAATTTTCTATTTTTATAGTAAGTTCACAGCAATACATACCTTTCTATGTGTGTATAAGTATTCATATGTATGTATGTCAAGTACTTTTATCAGCTTAATTTTATTGGCGTTTAAAAACGTTATATTTGAACATGCATAAGAATGTAAACACAATGACTTAACAATATATGAATAAAAAAATTAAAAAATTATATTATTGGTTATCAAATTGCAAAGTTCAACAACCACCCTCATCACCCCCTTTTTGAACAATTTCTAATGTTATGTTTTTGCATTTACTTTCTTATCAATTTACAGAAATTTTAGATAATTTCTTTACATGGTTTTATAAATACAAACAAGATAATTATACGGTATGGATTGGGCCATATCTGAATATAGTGGTGTCCAATGTTAAGGATGTGGAGGTAAGTTTTTTGGAATTTCTTACTTTAAGAGAAGTACATTTTAACTAGAACAAAATTATAGTTTATTTTATCCAGTAATAGCTTAATACAAAAATCCGATATCTATGATATGTTGCATCCCTGGTTGGGTGAAGGACTATTGACCAGCACTGGGGCGAAATGGCATAAACATCGCAAAATGATAACACCCTCATTTCATTTTAAGATTTTGCAAGATTTCCATGCAGTCATGAATGAAAATTGCAATAAATTTGTGGAGAAATTGAAAAATGTGGCGAAGGGAGATACCATTATAGATTTTCAGGATCAGGCTCATTATTTGACTTTGGATGTTATATGTGGTGGGTTGGCTTATATGAAAATTTTAAGTTAAGATTTCTATTAAGTATTGTTTTCGATTTTAGATACCGCCATGGGTGTTCATATTAATGCCATGGATAATCATGATGCCGAAATTGTTAATGCTTTTAAGGAGTAGGTTTATCTAAGGATTTGTTTGATTTTGTAGAGGTTTTAAATAAAATTGTATTTGTTTCTCTTCATCTAGTATGTGCTACAATATCAACATGCGTGCATTTCATCCTTTGAAACGTAATGATTCTATATACAGATTTTTCCCCGATTACAAAGATTTCTGCAAGACCCTGAAAACTTTACAAGATTTTACATATGAGGTGAGTTTAATATTTACTAAGAAACATTGCATACTTGTCTTTATAAAAGATTCTCTTGTGGCCTTGCCTATGAGATCTTTTTATAACGGTTTTTATAACCATTTAATTTATTACCGTAACGATCTTGTGGCACAAAAAGGTTGCATATGCTAAGGCAGTTACAAAACAGATCGTTTTATAAAGAGTTGCCAGATACATAATCTGTAACACAAATACATTTCAGTGAAATTCCTATAAGGTCCAAATTCCGGATTCACTTAAAATCCGACTTTTCCGCAAAATCCGCTTAATTTTCTCCTTTTTCCAGGTCATTGAAAAACGCATTGAAAGACGCAAACAAGAGGAGGTCCACAAAACCGAAACTGTTGAAGATGAATTTAGCAAACGTAAAATGGCCTTTTTGGATACGCTGCTATCATCCACCATAGATGGTCGTCCCTTAAATACCCAAGAAATCTATGAAGAAGTTTCAACATTTATATTTGAGGGTCATGATACCACCACCTCGGGAGTAACATTTGCCATATACTTGCTATCGCGTCATCTGGGCGTTCAACAACAAGTCTACGAAGAACAGCAAAGAGTAATGGGTGGTAATATGAAAAGAGATGCCAGCTTTCAGGAATTGTCGGAAATGAAATATTTAGATTTGGTTTTGAAAGAGGCTCAACGTCTGTATCCCAGTGTACCCATGATCGGCAGATTTACCGAAAAGGATTATAACATAAGTAAGTTTGTTTAAAGCATTTATAGAATATTATATTAAGTTTGAGTTTTTGGTCCCTTTAGATGGCAAACCGATACCCAAAAACACTTCCTTAAACATATTCATCATGGCTTTGGGTTACAATGACAAATCTTTTCCCGATCCTTATCGTTTCAAACCGGAACGTTTTGATTTAACACAGAGAACAGAAAAACAAAACCCCTTCGAATATGTACCGTTTAGTGCAGGTCCACGCAATTGTATAGGACAAAAATTTGCTCAATTGGAAATTAAAACTGTGGTCTCAAAAATTGTGCGTAATTTTGAAATATTACCCGCTCTCGATGAATTGGCCTCTAAGGATGGTTATGTCAGTACATTTCTGGGACCACAAAAACATAATAAACCACAACAACATAAATATGAACCGATATTGTCAGCAGTATTGACATTAAAATCAGAAAATGGTGTACATTTAAGATTAAAGGAAAGAAATTAATTATAGATTTTTATTTATAATAAAAATTGTTAAGAAAACTGTTTTAATATCTTTTTAAACTTTAACTAGAACAGCGCCTACCTCAGCTTCGATCTGGAATTGTGAGGGATCCACAGTTTGTCTAAGGAAAGAAAGACATTTTCGATTCAAAAAGATAAGAATAAATAGTTAGTTTTTCACTTACCCATCACTATGTTTGGATTGTATGGAAGTGGTAATAATTTCCGCTTTGGAGCCCATATCATAATAACTATTGATATTGATGGTTTGATCATTTTTGCTTAAATTCAAGACAATCACATACAAATCACTGCCGGCCTTCTGGCGGGAATAGATAATGACATCATTGGCTATGGCTTGAATTTTAAGTTCACCATCTTGGAAAGAGGGTTCTTTGCGCAATTTGATTAGTTTTTTGAAGATCTGCAAATGAGATTGAGGAGCACGCAATTGAGCCAAGGCATTGTTGGATTGATAGTCATCAGCTACTGGCAGCCAGGTATGATCGCCAGTGGTGAAACCTTAAATCGATTGAAATAGTTTGTTTATAAAAAAGTTTAACGTTAGGCTGATTTTCCATCTACCTGCCAAATTAGAAGCATCCCACTGATAAGGAGTTCTGGCGGGATCTCTTGAATAGCCATAATAAGTCTGAGGATTGGCATTACAAGCCTGAGGATCTACCGAGTCTTCCCAAGAAATGAAAACATCATGCATAGCCAACTCTTCACCCTGTTTTAAAATAAAGCCAAATCTCTTAAACCATACTACTTCTATAATTTCCCTTCAACTTACATTATAAGTAACAGCATTACCCGGCAATGTTTGCAACAAAATGTTAAACAAATCTGCACGATTAATACCCAAACGTGAGGCCAAACGTTTATTATCATGATTACCCAAAACCCAATTGGCATACACATCCTTGGGTATAGCATCCAAAAACTTAGTGATGTGTTGTACTATAGTCTCAGCCGAGGTGTCATTGAATATATTGGAAAGAAAATCAAAATTGAAGGGTACATGAGAACCATTACGTACGCCATCACCATAGAAACGTATAATATTCTCAAAACTGGTATAGGCCTCGGTCAATAAAATTCTAGTATCACCACCATGTTCCTTTTTGAACTCATCGGCCAAGGCGCGCCACTGGTAAGCCATATCAAAAGTTTCCGGTTGATCATTAGTATAAATATGCTGCAAATGGCAATAATCATCTGGATCGGGACAGGAGGCTACATTTTCAATAACCGGCTCATCTGGATACATATTATCCTTATCCAATTCCTTTTCAAACAGAAAAGGCACAGCATCAATACGAAAACCGGCTATGCCCTTGCCCAACCAGAAACGCATAACATTTTTCATTTCCTCCACCAACTTGGGATTGCGATAATTCAAATCAGGCTGTTTAATGGCAAACTGATGCAAATAATACTGTTGTCTTTGATCATTCCATTCCCAGGCACTATAACGGAAAGCACTCAACCAATTGCTGGGCGGTTCACGCTCTCCCGTAGTAGGATTGATACGACCATTGTGCCACACATAAAAATCACGATAATCAGGATCATTATTAACCGATTTCTTGAACCATTCATTTTCATCACTCGAATGATTGGGTACAAAATCCAAAATAATCTTTATGCCAACTTCTTTAGCCTTTTTGATCATATTCTCGAAATCTTCCATGGTACCGTATTCGGGATGGATTTGATAGAAATCGGAGATGTCATAACCAAAATCAGCCATGGGAGATTTGAAAATGGGTGAAAGCCATACGGCTGTGAATCCAATGTCTTTCAAGTATTGCAGCTTTTCAGAAACACCTGAAAAGATAATGTGACAAGATCAAATATTACAATCCAATATCTGTAGATCAGAGAGATTTTATGTAAAGAAATAGGTTATCGATCAAAATCAGTTTTCATAAGTAAAATATTTATAGATCATTGACAGTTTCGTATAGAAAACATCTCACGATCAGATACGGTTTTTGTACAGACAATGTCTCATGATCAGATAAAATGTTCTGTATAAAAAATTTCTTACGATCAGAGACATATTTGGTACAGAAAATATCTCACGATCAGAGACATATTTCATATAGAAAATGGCTCATGATCAGTGACATAATTCGTATAGAAAATGGCTCATGATAAGAGATATATTTAGTATAGAAAATGTCTCACGATCAGAGACATATTTCGTATAGAAAATGTCTCACGATCAGAGACATATTTCGTATAGAAAATGTCTCACGATCAGTGATATAATTCGTATAGAAAATTTCTCACGATCAAAGACGTTTTTCATATAGAAAATGTGTCACGATCAGCGACATTTTTCATATAGAAAATGTATCACGATCACCGAAATTTTTCATGTAGAAAATATCTCAAGTTCAGAGGAGTTTTTCATAAAGACAATGTCTCTCGATCGTAAAAAAAAATTAGATCCTTATTCCTTACCATTCAAATCACCAATACCATCACCATCACTATCGCGGAAAGAACGTGGATAAATTTGATAAAAATTGCCATTCTCCCACCAATCCTTGGCTAAACTACCAGCCACTAGGGAAAATAATAACATAAATTTTCCCAATAACTCCATATCGTCTATAAAACTGTTTCAATTTAAATTCAATTAAATCAAAACCCGCGCTCCATTAAACTTTAAATAATAAAATTTAAATTAAAACTACTGACATTTCGTTAAAGACAACCTGCTTTTATAAAAAAATAACTACTTTTTAAAAATCTAATAATATTAGTTGTTTTAAATCTTATCAAAAATTGCAATTGTTTTGTCAACATTTGAGAATGAAAAAAAACTCAATCAAATCAAGCAATTTCCTAAACTTTCTTACAAATACCTACTTCAAACGGCGTCTTCCAGTGTAGTTTTTGGGCGACAAAACACTTTACTCATGCATGACCAATTTCTGATTCCCATTGAAGGGGGTATTATTATTATTTGTTAATAAATGTGATTTTTCTAGTTTGGATTTACTGTGTAGTAGTGTTGTTTTGGAAAAGATCTTATCAGGTTTACATATACTAGAGTCAAGTATTTGTTTATAAATTCTTGAAGTTACAATTCAAGTTTGTAGCAATGTTTTCGATAACAATGATGATTTTCTTGTATCAATTTATGTATCGAACGAACGTACTTTAGTTATCTTAAATAAATACTCTTAAACTTTATTAATTTGAAGTGACTTTGTATGGGAGATTTAGTCAATATTAGATAGTTTTGTTTATGATTAATTGAAATAAACAAATATTTTGTAAAAAAATGTTGTCCCAGGTTTTGAATCTAACTTTTTTGTTATAGAAAATGTGTCTCGATCAGACACAGTTTTCGTATAGAAAATGTGTCTCGATCAGACACAACTTTTGTATAGAAAATGTGTATCGATCAGACACAGTTTTCTTATAGAAAATTTGTCTCGATCAGACACAGTTTTCGTATAGAAAATGTGTCTCGATCAGACACAGTTTTCGTAAAGAAAATGTGTTTCGATCAGACATAGTTTTCATATAGAAAATGTGTCTCGATCAGACACAGCTTTCGTATAGAAAATTTGTCTCGATCAGACATAGTTTTCGTATAGAAAATGTGTCTCGATCAGACATAGTTTTCGTATAGAAAATGTGTCTCGATCAGACACAGTTTTCGTATAGGAAATGTGTCTCGATCAGACACAGTTTTCGTATAGAAAATGTGTCTCGATCAGACACAGTTTTCGTAAAGAAAATGTGTCTCGATCAGACACAGTTTTCGTATAGAAAATGTGTCTCGATCAGACACAGTTTTCGTATAGAAAATGTGTCTCGATCAGACACAGTTTTCGTATAGAAAATGTGTCTCGATCAGACACAGTTTTCGTATAGAAAATGTGTCTCGATCAGAAACAGTTTTCGTATAGAAAATGTGTCTCGATGAGACACAGTTTTCATATAAAAAATGTGACGCGATCAGACACAGTTTTCGTATAGAAAATGTGACGCGATCAGACACAGTTTTCGTATAGAAAATATGTCTCGATCAGACACCGTTTTGGTATAGAATTTTAGTCCCGATCAGACATAGTTTTCGTATAGAAAATGTGTCTCGATCAGACACAGTTTTCGTACAGAAAATGTGTCTCGATCAGACACAGTTTTCGTATAGAAAATGTGTCTCGATCAGACACAGTTTTCGTATAGAAAATGTGTCTCGATCAGACACAGTTTTCGTATAGAAAATGTGTCTCGATCAGACACAGTTTTCGTATAGAAAATGTGTCTCGATCAGACACAGTTTTCGTATAGAAAATGTGTCTCGATCAGACACAGTTTTCGTATAGAAAATGTGTCTCGATCAGACACAGTTTTCGTATAGAAAATATGTCTCGATCAGACACAGTTTTCGTATAGAAAATGTGTCTCGATCAGACACAGTTTTCGTATAGAAAATGTGTCTCGATCAGACACAGTTTTCGTATAGAAAATGTGGCTCGATCAGGCACAGTTTTCGTATAGAAAATGCGTCTCGATCAGAAACTGTTTTTGTATAGAAAATGTGTCTCGATCAAACACAGTTTTCGTATAGAAAATGTGTCTCGATCAGACACAGTTTTCGTATAGAAAATGTGTCTCGATCAGAAACAGTTTTCGTATAGAAAATGTGTCTCGATGAGACACAGTTTTCATATAAAAAATGTGACGCGATCAGACACAGTTTTCGTATAGAAAATGTGACGCGATCAGACACAGTTTTCGTATAGAAAATATGTCTCGATCAGACACCGTTTTGGTATAGAATTTTAGTCCCGATCAGACATAGTTTTCGTATAGAAAATGTGTCTCGATCAGACACAGTTTTCGTACAGAAAATGTGTCTCGATCAGACACAGTTTTCGTATAGAAAATGTGTCTCGATCAGACACAGTTTTCGTATAGAAAATGTGTCTCGATCAGACACAGTTTTCGTATAGAAAATGTGTCTCGATCAGACACAGTTTTCGTATAGAAAATGTGTCTCGATCAGACACAGTTTTCGTATAGAAAATGTGTCTCGATCAGACACAGTTTTCGTATAGAAAATGTGTCTCGATCAGACACAGTTTTCGTATAGAAAATGTGTCTCGATCAGACACAGTTTTCGTATAGAAAATATGTCTCGATCAGACACAGTTTTCGTATAGAAAATGTGTCTCGATCAGACACAGTTTTCGTATAGAAAATGTGTCTCGATCAGACACAGTTTTCGTATAGAAAATGTGTCTCGATCAGACACAGTTTTCGTATAGAAAATGTGTCTCGATCAGACACAGTTTTCGTATAGAAGATGTATCTCGATCTGAAACAGTTTGCGTATAGAAAATGTGTCTCGATCAGACAAAGTTTTCATATGGAAAAATGTGTCTCGATCAGTCAGATGGCTCCTGATCTTGAAAACTAGATAAACAATGTAAATATTTTGTTTATTTTTTTAAGCTTAACAGTGTTTACCACCGAGTTACTCACAATTACAATTTAAATAATTTGTTTATATCGCAACAAATATTTAATTTGTGTAACTCCAATATGATCACATTAAATATTTACCGGCATTCAAACTTGACAGTTAAATAAATTTCCCGGTAGTTTTAAAAATAAATTATTGCAATAATATTGAAACAGTTGCTTAAATATGACAAATGATAAACAATGTCTTGGGAAGCTGGACTATATAAGATCATTGATCTTTAGCCACGACAAACACAGTTCAAATACTGAACTTACTCATAACGGACTTTCTTTAACTATTTAAGAACAAAAATGTTCAAATTATTACCCATTTTAATAGTGGGTTTAGCCTTAACAGCTAATGCCAGAGATTGGTGGGAAAATGGCAATTTCTATCAGGTCTATCCTAGATCTTTTAAGGACAGCAATGGTGATGGCATAGGTGATTTAAATGGTGAGTTGTGGTAAAAATTTTTGCAGAGTATTGTTGTAATAATAGTTTTTCTAAAGGTGTGGCTGAGAAAATTCAATATCTTAAGGATTTGGGCATGGATGGTGTTTGGTTGTCGCCCATTATGAAATCGCCCATGGCTGATTTTGGTTATGATATTTCCGATTATTATCAAATACAGGGAGAGTATGGTTCTTTGGATGATCTCTTGGCTTTGGTGGAGAAAGCTCATGAAGTGGGCATTAATTTAATTTTGGATTTTGTACCCAATCATACTAGTGATGAGCATGAATGGTTCCAAAAGTCGGTGGCCAATGATTCTCAATATCGCGATTTCTATGTATGGCATGATGGTGTTTATAATCCCTCTACCGGCAAACGTGATCCTCCTAGCAATTGGCTTTCGCAATTCAAATTCTCTGCCTGGGAATGGAATGATCAGAGACAGCAATATTATCTACATCAATTTGGTGTTAAACAACCTGATCTTAATTACCGCAATCCTGCCGTAGTCCAGGCCATGAAAGATGTTTTGGTATTTTGGTTAGATCATGGCATCGATGGTTTTCGTATTGATGCTGTACCTTTCCTGTTTGAAAATGAAATTGATGCCAGAACTGGCACTTATCCGGATGAACCTTTAGATGAGTCTAATGCCTGTCCTGATCCCACGGATTGGTGTCATTTGAAACATCCCTATACTAACTCCTTGCCCGAATCCACCGAAATGATTTATCAATGGCGTGAGGTTATCGAAAACTGGAAACGTGAACATAATTCCTCCACCAAGATCTTATTAACCGAGGCTTACACTAGTTTCGAGAACCTAATGCTAATGTATGGTGATGGTGAGCGCAATGGTTCACATATTCCCTTTAATTTTGAAATGCTATCGGGCTTGACCAAGAGCAGCAGGGCTGCCGATTTTCAATACTATGTCACACATTGGTTGGATAATATGCCTGATGGCACCTTTGCCAACTGGGTATTGGGTAATCATGATAATCGTAGATTGGCTTCACGTTTGGGTACCGAACGTAAGGACTTGATCAATATATTCTTGCAGACCTTACCCGGCATAGCAGTGACTTATAATGTAAGTTAGAGAAATATGTAGGAAAATTATATAGGATTTTAATAATTTGTTTTTTATATGTAAAGGGTGAAGAATATGGCGCTGAAGATGTTGATGTTTCCTGGGAGGATACTGTAGATCCTCAGGGTTGTAATGCTGGCCGCGATACTTATGAAAAATATACCAGAGATCCTGCTAGAACACCTTTCAGATGGGATTCCTCGAAAAATGCTGGCTTCAGTTCGGCTGATAAAACTTGGTTGCCGGTGGGTTCCGGCTATGAACAGGAAAATGTACAACAACAACTACAGGATGACAATAGTCATTTGAAAATCTTTAAACGTCTAACCCGCCTAAGGAAAGAGGAACCAGCTTTTAGTGGCAGAAAAGTTGATCCACATGTCCAAGGACAAGTATTGATCTATGAAAGGTGGGTTAAATTTTACTTTATAGAATTGTAGTTGTATTCAAATGTTCTCTAGATCTCCTTCATCTGCTAACGATGCTGAAGCCGACTCCTTTTTGGTTATTTTGAACATTGGTGGCTCTGATGCTGCTATTGAATTAAGTCAATTTTCTGATAAGGTTGGCTCTCAGGTTGAAGTGGTAGTCAGCTCGTTACAATCCGGTTTACAAGAGGGGTAACACTAGTTTTCTTTACACATTTATAAAATTATTTCTTTAACTTTATTTTCCTTTCTAGACAACTTGTGGATTCTTCAAACTTTGTGGCCAAAGGTTATGTTGGTTATGTCTTGCGTTTGGTTTAAAATTATACAAAAATTGTTAATCATATCAAATATACATAAATAAATATTGCATTGTTAAAACTAAATTTAAAATAGTTTTGATTAAAACTTTGCCAATTAATGAAGCATTTGATTTCACTAGAATTTAAGTTCACTTTAGTTAGTTCTGTTCTATTTTAAGTAAATCTATATTTTTTTAATAATCTTCAAATTTGTGGTAAATGAAAACTTTTAATTAAAATTTTATAAAAAAAAAGGAAAAAAACAGCTTAAAAATGTTCTTATATTCCAGAAAGTCTACTTTATATTTACAAAAAAATAAATATAAAAAAAAAAACAAAAAATAATAAAAAATAATAAAAAATATTTAAGTGGTGTTAATTAAAGAAGAAAATGTATCTGCAACACAAAATATAGAATTTTATTACAATTTAATAATATGAGCAAAATACAAATTTCAAGTGGTAATAGTAACCATAAGCAACACAATTAGTGGTTTGTTGAAGACTTCAGCAAGAAATTTTTAAAAGAGTAAAAAATAAAATGAACTTAATAATGGCATTCAAGCTTTTTCTAAGGATTGGTTCTTTAAAAAGTAGGCATATAAAATAATTTCAAAAATATATTATTATTAAAAAATTAAATGGAACGTAGGACTGAACTATAACTGAACTAGAACAGAACTAGAACTGAACTAGGACTGAAGTGGAACTGAACTAGAACTGAACTAGAACTGAACTAGAACTGAACTAGAACTGAACTAGAACTGAACTAGAACTGAACTAGAACTGACTAGAACTGAACTAACTGAACTAGAACTGAACTAGAACTGAACTAGAACTGAACTAGAACTGAACTAGAACTGAACTAGAACTGAACTAGAACTGAACTAGAACTGAACTAGAACTGAACTAGAACTGAACTAGAACTGAACTAGAACTGAAACTAGAACTGAACTAGAACTGAACAGAACTGAACTAGAACTGAACTAGAAATGAAACTAGAACTGAACTAGAACTGAACTAGAACTGAACTAGAACGAACTAGAACTGAACTAGAAATGAACTAGAACTGAACTAGAACTGAACTAGAACTGAACTAACTGAACTAGAACTGAACTAGAACTGAACTAGAACTGAACTAGAACTGAACTAGAACTGAACTAGAACTGAACTAGAACTGAACTAGAACTGAACTAGAACTGAACTAGAACTGAACTAGAACTGAACTAGAACTGAACTAGAACTAGAACTGATTAGACTGAACTAGAACGGAACTAGAACTGAACTAGAACTGAACTGAAACTGAACTTAGAACTGAACTAGAACTGAACTAGAACTGAACTAGAACTGAAACTAGAACTGAACTAGAACTGAAACTAGAACTGAATCTAGAACTGAACTAGAACTGGAAAACTAGAACCTGAACTGAAACTGAACTAGAACTGAACGAAACTGAACTAAACTGACTTAGAACTGAACTAGAACTGCAACTAGACTGAACAGAACTGACTAGAACTGAACTAGAACTTGAACTAGAACGGAACTAGAACTGAACTAGAACTGAACTAGAACTGAACTAGAACTGAACTAGAACTGAACTAGAACTGAACTAGAAAACTGAAACTAGAACTGAAACTAGAACTGAACTAGAACTGAACTAGAAACTTGAACTAGAACTAGAACTAGAACTGAAACTAGACAAATGAACTAGACTGAAACTAGGAACTGAACTAGAACTGAACTAGAACTGAACTAGAACTGAACTAGAACTGACTAGAACTGAACTAGAAAACTGAACTAGAACTGAAACTAGAACTGAACTAGAACTGAACTAGAACTGAACCTAGAACTGAACTAGAACTGAACTAGAACTGAACTAGAACTGAACTAGAACTGAACTAGAACTGAACTAAACTGAACTAGAACTGAACTAGAACTGAACTAGAACTGAACTAGAACTGAACTAGAACTGAACTAGAACTGAACTAGAACTGAACTAGAACTGAACTAGAACTGAACTAGAACTGAACTAGAACTGAACTAGAACTGAACTAGAACTGAACTAGAACTGAACTAGAACTAGAACTGAACTAGAACTGAACTAGAACTAGAACTGAACTAGAACTGAACTAGAACTGAACTAGAACTAAACTGGAACTGAACTAGAACTGAACTAGAACTGAACTAGAACTGAACTAGAACTGAACTAGAACTGAACTAGAACTGAACTAGAACTGAACTAGAACTGAACTAGAACTGAACTAGAACTGAACTAGAACTGAACTAGAACTGAACTAGAACTGAACTAGAACTGAACTAGAACTGAACTAGAACTGAACTAGAACTGAACTAGAACTGAACTAGAACTGAACTAGAACTGAACTAGAACTGAACTAGAACTGAACTAGAACTGAACTAGAACTGAACTAGAACTGAACTAGAACTGAACTAGAACTGAACTAGAACTGTACTAGAACTGAACTAGAACTGAACTAGAACTGAACTAGAACTGAACTAGAACTGAACTAGAACTGAACTAGAACTGAACTAGAACTGAACTAGAACTGAACTAACTGAACTAGAACTGAACTAGAACTGAACTAGAACTGAACTAGAACTGAACTAGAACTGAACTAGAACTGAACTAGAACTGAACTAGAACTGAACTAGAACTGAACTAGAACTGAACTAGAACTGAACTAGAACTGAACTAGAACTGAACTAGAACTGAACTAGAACTGAACTAGAACTGAACTAGAACTGAACTAGAACTGAACTAGAACTGAACTAGAACTGAACTAGAACTGAACTAGAACTGAACTAGAACTGAACTAGAACTGAACTAGAACTGAACTAGAACTGAACTAGAACTGAACTAGAACTGAACTAGAACTGAACTAGAACTGAACTAGAACTGAACTAGAACTGAACTAGAACTGAACTAGAACTGAACTAGAACTGAACTAGAACTGAACTAGAACTGAACTAGAACTGAACTAGAACTGAACTAGAACTGAACTAGAACTGAACTAGAACTGAACTAGATCTGAACTAGAACTGAACTAGAACTGAACTAGAACTGAACTAGAACTGAAACTAGAACTGAACTAGAACTGAACTAGAACTGAACTAGAACTGAACTAGAACTGAACTAGAACTGAACTAGAACTGAACTAGAACTGAAACTAGAACTGAACTAGAACTGAACTAGAACTGAACTAGAACTGAACTAGAACTGAACTAGAACTGAACTAGAACTGAACTAGAACTGAACTAGAACTGAACTAGAACTGAACTAGAACTGAACTAGAACTGAACTAGAACTGAACTAGAACTGAACTAGAACTGAACTAGAACTGAAGTAGAACTGAAGTAGAACTGAACTAGAACTGAACTAGAACTGAACTAGAACTGAACTAGAACTGAACTAGAACTGAACTAGAACTGAACTAGAACTGAACTAGAACTGAACTAGAACTTAACTAGAACTGAACTAGAACTGAACCAGAACTGGATTAGCGCTTAGCTAGAACTGAACTAGAACTGAAATTAGCTAATCTGATCTATACTAGTTCTAAAAGATCAGTTTTAAGTAGAAACTACATTAGCTGATAATTTAAACTAACATTTTCGAAATAGTTATTTTATAATTAAAATTACAATTTTTTATTTAATTCCTCCTTCAATTCTCTAATCAAAATTAAACAGCTGTCAACTAATTTTCCATTGTCAGTGTTTTCGAACCACTTAAACCTTACAAAAAAAATCAAGTATGTATTTGCATTAAAGATTTTCCTCTCATTACACATTTTGCTAACACTGCAAGCAATTTAAGCTAACAAGATACTTAAAACCCGATAAGTACGTAAAAACAATTGAAAAATTTCCCAAAACAAAGCACTCTCTGTCAAGATGTAATAGTTACACAAAACAGTCTGATCAGTGTTTAACACGATGAAGTGGAGTGTAGTCGTATATTTGTCCGCCTATTTAACAGTTTCCCTGGGCTGTCAGGCAGTGGTCAAAAAACAGGAATCAGAATGGTGGGAAAATGCTTCCCTCTATCAAATCTATCCTAGATCCTTTCAAGATAGCGATGGTGATGGTGTGGGTGACATAAAAGGTATTACCTCGAGATTGGAATACTTAAAAGATATCGGTATAACAGCTACTTGGTTGTCGCCCATATTTGAATCACCTATGGCTGATTTTGGTTATGATATATCGAATTTTACACGTATTGATCCCACCTTTGGCAATTTGGATGATTTCGATGAAATGTTAGCGAAGGCCAAACAATTGGGGGTGAAGATTTTATTAGATTTTGTGCCCAATCATACGTCCGATGAGCATGAATGGTTTCAGAAGTCTGTGAAAAGAGAGGAGGGTTTTGAGGATTTCTATATGTGGCATGATGGTAAAGTAGATCCTACGGATTCGAGTAAAAAAATACCACCAAGTAATTGGGTAAGTTTTTAAAATGGGTTTAAATACAATTTTATTTTCTATTATTTTTATATTAATTAGAATTCCATTTTTGGTGGTCCTATGTGGACCTGGCACGAGGAGCGCCAACAGTATTATTTGCATCAGTTTCTGGCTAAACAACCCGATTTAAATTATTCTAATACTTTGGTACGTCAACATATGCTAAAGGTTTTGGAGTATTGGTTGCAACGTGGTGTAGATGGTTTTCGTATTGATGCTGTTCCTCATATTTTTGAGAAACGTAATGATGATGGTTCTTTTCCCGATGAGGAAATCAGTGGCGTTTCTTCTGATCCTAATACTTATGATTATTATACACATAAGTACACAAAGGATCAGTATCCTACGATAGAGTTACTGTATGAGTGGAGAGCATTTTTGGATGATTTCCGTGCTAAAAATGGTGGTGATAGTAGGTAAGTTCTGGATGCGGGTTTTAAAAACTAGTTTAAACGTTTTACATTTATTTTTCTATTTTTAGAATTCTCTTAACCGAATCCTACTCTCCCATTGATTTTCTCAGTTTAGCTTTTGCTAATGCCACTAATAAGGGAGCCCAAATTCCCATGAATTTCAATCTAATGGATTTAGTATCCACTTCAACAGCTAAAGATGTAGAATCCTTAGCTAATGCCTGGATGGATACCATGTGGAAAGAACATCAAATTGCCAATTGGGTGGTGGGTAATCATGACAGCAGTAGAGTGGCCAATCGTATTGGCACCAATAAAGTAGATTTATTAAATATCATTGTACACACTTTGCCCGGTACTTCAATAACTTATTATGGCGAGGAACTGGGCATGACTAATGCCATAACCGAATGTACTCCCTCCTCCTGTGAGGATCGCGATCCCGAAAGATCACCCATGCAATGGAATTCACAAGTTAATGCTGGCTTCTCACAAGCTGCCAAAACTTGGCTGCCTTTGTCTCAGGATTATGAATTTTATAATGTTGAAACTGAGTCCCAAATAGGACGCAGTACTTTGCAAATATTTAAAGGTTTACAAGAGTTAAAGAAGACTGCAGCTTTTAAGAACACCAAAGGAGAGGGAGGTTTCTCATATAAAGCTTTAACAGAGCAAATATTTCAAATTATAAGAGCTGTTCCTGATAAAGAGGAATACATGATTTTGGTCAATATGGGTGATAAGTTGGAATATGTGGAGAATTTAAGCTCAAAAACTTATGAATATGTTTTGATGAATACTTTCTCACCACATATTAAGGGGTGAGTTGGAAGTGGTTGGATTAACATTAAGAAATATTTCTGAAAGCTTTTTTATCTCTTTATAGCGATAAAGCCGATCTGAGTGGACGTTTGTATTTGATGCCCAATGAAGCAGTGATTTTGAAATGGGCGGCTTAAGTGGAGAAAAATTTTATATGTAAAACAAGCAAGAAATTATAGTCAGGCGAGGCCGACCATATAATACCCTACACCTGTTACAAAAATAAAATGTGATTTAGTTTTCATAATAAAGCATTTAAGTTGACTTGTGTCAGATACATATACTTAAGCCATTTATTGTTGAATAAAATTGTGGACATTTAAGTCAAATTTTGAAGGGGGATTTGTATAGGGGCTATGGTCAAATGAGACCCTATAATTATAAAATTCATGCGAGTCATCAAGGCTAGTATAGAACTTGGTTTTGCAGCTTTTTGTCGAGATACGAGTATATTAAACATAATTATAAACTTAAAATACCTATTCGACGTTTTCAGTTGTATGGGGTCTAGGTGAAATAATGGACCGATGTTAACCATTTTCAATAGGCTTCGTCTCTGGGACAATAGAAGATCATGTGCCAAATTTCATTGAATTATCTTCAAAATTGCGACCTGTAGTTTGATTACAAGGTTTACAAGCCCTATTCGGGGGTTCAGTTGTATGGGGGCTAGATGAGAAAATGGACCGATGTTAACCATTTTCAATAGGCTTCGTCTCTGGGACAATAGAAGATCATGTGCCAAATTTCATTGAATTATCTTCAAAATTGAGACCTGTAGTTTGATTACAAGGTTTACAAGCCCTATTCGGGGGCTCAGTTGTATGGGGGCTAGGTGAAATAATGGACCAATATTAACCATTTTCAATAGGCTTCGTCCCTGGGCCAATAGAAGATCATGTGTCAAATTTCATTGAATTATCTTCAAAATTGCGACCTGTAGTTTGATTACAAGGTTTACATGGACGGACAGACGGACGGACGGACAGACGGACGGACATAGCTAAATCGACTCAGAAAATGATTCTAAGCCGATTGGTATACTTTAAGGTGGGTATAGGACCAATATTATTGTGCGTTACAAACATCAGCACAAATCCAATATACCCTCCCCACTAAAGTGGTGTAGGGTATAATGAATTTAATAAAGATTCTTAATAAGTTTTAAAATTATCAAAAAATATTTAATGTGATTCTGAACTAGAACTGAACTAGAATTGAACTAGAACTGAACTCGAACTGAACTAGAACTGAACTAGGACTGAACTAGAACTGAACTAGAACTGAACTAGAACTGAACTAGAACTGAACTAGAACTGAACTAGAACTGAACTAGAACTGAACTAGAACTGAACTAGAACTGAACTAGAACTGAACTAGAACTGAACTAGAACTGAACTAGAACTGAACTAGAACTGAACTAGAATTGAACTAGAACTGAACTAGAACTGAACTAGAACTGAACTAGAACTGAACTAGAACTGAACTAGAACTGAACTAGAACTGAACTAGAACTGAACTAGAACTGAAACTAGAACTGAACTAGAACTGAACTAGAACTGAACTAGAACTGAACTAGAACTGAACTAGAGCTGAACTAGAACTGAACTAGAACTGAACTAGAACTGAACTAGAACTGACTAGAACTGAACTAGAACTGAACTAGAACTGAACTAGAACTGAACTAGAACTGAACTAGAACTGAACTACTGACTGAACTAGAACTGAACTAGAACTGAACTAGAACTGAACTAGAACTGAACTAGAACTGAACTAGAACTGAACTAGAACTGAACTAGAACTGAACTAGAACTGAACTAGAACTGAACTAGAACTGAACTAGAACTGACTAGAACTGAACTAGAACTGAACTAGAACTGAACTAGAACTGAACTAGAACTGAACTAGAACTGAACTAGAACTGAACTAGAACTGAACTAGAACTGAACTAGAACTGAACTAGAACTGAACTAGAACTGAACTAGAACTGAACTAGAAACTGAACTAGAACTGAACTAGAACTGAACTAGAACTGAACTAGAACTGAACTAGAAACTGAACTAGAACTAGAACTAGAACTGAACTAGAACTGAACTAGAACTGAACTAGAACTGAACTAGAACTGAACTAGAACTGAACTAGAACTGAACTAGAACTGAACTAGAACTGAACTAGAACTGAACTAGACTAGAACTGAACTAGAACTGAACTGAACTAGAACTGAACTAGAACTGAACTAGAACTGAACTAGAACTGACTAGAACTGAACTAGAACTGAACTAGAACTGAACTAGAACTGAACTGAACTAGAACTGACTAGAACTGAACTAGAACTGACCTAGAACTGAACTAGAACTGAACTAGAACTGAACTAGAACTGAACTAGAACTGAACTAGAACTGAACTAGAACTGAACTAGAACTGAACTAGAACTGAACTAGAACTGAACTGGACTGAACTAGAACTGAACTAGAACTGAACTAGAACTGAACTAGAACTGAACTAGAATTGAACTAGACTGAACTAGAACTGAACTAGAACTGAACTAGAACTGAACTAGAACTGACTAGAACTGAACTAGAACTGAACTAGAACTGAACTAGAACTGAACTAGAACTGAACTAGAACTGAACTAGAACTGAACTAGAACTGAACTAGAACTGAACTAGAACTGAACTAGAACTGAACTAGACTGAACTAGAACTGAACTAGAACTGAACTAGAACTGAACTAGAACTGAACTAGAACTGAACTAGAACTGAACTAGAACTGAACTAGAACTGAACTAGAACTAGAACTGAACTAGAACTGAACTAGAACTGAACTAGAACTGACCTAGAACTGAACTAGAACTGAACTAGAACTGAACTAGAACTGAACTTGAACTGAACTAGATCTGAACTAGAACTGAACTAGAACTGAACTAGAACTGAACTAGAATTGAACTGGGACTGAACTAGAACTGAACTAGAACTGTACTAGAACTGAACTAGAACTGAACTAGAACTGAACTAGAACTGAACTAGAACTGAACTAGAACTGAACTAGAACTGAACTAGAACTGAACTAGAACTGAACTAGAACTGAACTAGAACTGAACTAGAACTGAACTAGAACTGAACTAGAACTGAACTAGAACTGAACTAGAACTGAACTAGAACTGAACTAGAACTGAACTAGAACTGAACTAGAACTGAACTATAACTGAACTAGAACTGTACTAGGACTGAACTAGGACTGAACTAGAACTGAACTAGAACTAGAACTGACTAGAGCTGAACTAGAAACTGAACTAGAACTGAACTGGAACTGAACTAGAACTGAACTAGAACTGAACTGAACTATAACTGAACTAGAACTGAACTAGAACTGAACTGAACTATAACTGAACTAGAACTGAACTAGCACTGAACTAGAACTGAACTAGAACTGAACTAGAACTGAACTAGAACTGAACTAGAACTGAACTAGAACTGAACTAGAACTGAACTAGAACTGAACTAGAACTGAACTAGAACTGAACTAGAACTGAACTAGAACTGAACTAGAACTGAACTAGAACTGAACTAGAACTGAACTAGAACTGAACTAGAACTGAACCAGAACTGAACTAGAACTGAACTGGAACTGAACTAGAACTGAACTAGAACTGAACTAGAACTGAACTAGAATTGAACTGGGACTGAACTAGAACTGAACTAGAACTGTACTAGAACTGAACTAGAACTGAACTAGAACTGAACTATAACTGAACTAGAACTGAACTAGAACTGTACTAGGACTGAACTAGGACTGAACTAGAACTGAACTAGAACTGAACTAGAACTGAACTAGAACTGAACTAGAACTGAACTATAACTGAACTAGAACTGAACTAGAACTGAACTAGAACTGAACTAGAACTGAACTAGAACTGAACTAGAACTGAACTAGAACTGTACTAGGACTGAACTAGGACTGAACTAGAACTGAACTAGAACTGAACTAGAGCTGAACTAGAACTGAACTAGAACTGAACTAGAACTGAACTAGAACTGAACTAGAACTGAACTAGAACTGAACTGAACTATAACTGAACTAGAACTGAACTAGCACTGAACTAGAACTGAACTAGAACTGAACTAGAACTGAACTAGAACTGAACTAGAACTGAACTAGAACTGAACTAGAACTGAACTAGAACTGAACTAGAACTGAACTAGAACTGAACTAGAACTGAACTAGAACTGAAACTAGAACTGAACTAGACACTGAACTAGAACTGACTAGAACTGAACTAGAACACTAGAAACTAGAACTGAATAGAACTAGAACTGAACTAGACTGAACTAGAACTGAACTAGAACTGAACTGGAATGAACTAGAACTAGATTCATGAAAAAATATCGCGTTTAGATCATAAATAAATGTTAAGATATAGCTCTGCTAATTAAAGCTACATATTTTCCATTAGTACCAAAGTTATAGTACCTTTTCGTTCGTTTTATACCGCGTACTTGATAAATAATATAGTTTAATATCTAAACATATTAATGACGTTATCTACCATATATATTGGCCACTAATAAAACATTTTGTTATACATTATTATTTTTTCCCCGAACCATATCACAGCTATGACTGTTACTCGCATTATCTAAGCGCGCTAAAATAATCGTTACTATAAATTTAATAATATCGATGATAAAGAATACATGCATATTAAGGTGATATAGGTTCGAAGCGATTGCCAGAACTAAAATTTTAAAAGAAAACATTAAATTAGTCTTCAACGCCATGAACTCGAGAGTGGCCGCAAGCGTCTTGGCCTTTCTGGCCTTTAATTGGGGCATCAGGCAAGCTCTAGCTAAAAGTGATTGGTGGGAAAGTGCTTCACTTTACCAAATCTATCCGAGATCCTTTCAAGATAGCAATGATGATGGTGTGGGTGATTTGAAGGGTATTACATCTAGATTGGAATATTTAAAGGAAATAGGTGTTACGGCCACTTGGTTGTCTCCGGTATTTGAATCTCCCATGTCAGATTTTGGTTATGATATATCAAATTTTACACGTATTGATCCCATTTTTGGCACTTTGGAAGATTTTGATGAAATGATTGCAAAGGCTAAACAATTGGGCGTAAAAGTGTTATTGGATTTTGTACCCAATCATTCATCCGATGAATGTGAATGGTTTCAAAAGTCTATAAGAAAAGAGGAGGGTTTTGAGGATTTTTATGTATGGCATGATGGTAAATTAGATCCTCAGAATTCTACACTAAGACAACCACCAAGTAATTGGGTAAGTATTCTTCATCCAAAGAAATACATTTTATAACTATTTGTTTCCCAAAAGGTTTCAGTTTTTGGTGGTTCCATGTGGACCTGGCATGATGAACGTCAGCAGTATTATCTACATCAATTTCAAGCTAAACAACCCGACTTCAACTTCTCGAATCCTTTGGTAAGGCAACATATGTTGGGAGTTTTGGAATATTGGTTAGATCGTGGTGTGGATGGTTTCCGAATTGATGCTGTTCCCCATATATTTGAGAAAATTAATGACGATGGCTCTTATCCCGATGAACCGATTAGTGGTTGGTCTTCCGATCCCAATAGTTATGAATATCATGATCATATTTATACCAAAGATCAGTATTCCACCATAGAACTATTATATGAATGGCGAGCATTTTTGGAGGAATATCAACAGAAAAATGGTGGAGACACCAGGTAACTTTAGGTAAAATAAATTTTAACACAAATTTAATTTTAAATAATTGTGGAAAATAGGATCTTGTTAGCCGAAGCTTACTCCTCGGTAGAAACTCTTAGTTTATATTTTGGCAATGGCACTCATCGTGGTACTCAATTGCCCATGAATTTCCAATTAATGTATTTGAATGGCTTCTCCACTGCCAAAGATGTGGAGAATTCCTGCAACTATTGGATGGATACCATGTGGAAGACTCATCAAACTGCCAATTGGGTTATAGGCAATCATGATAATAATCGTGTAGCTGAACGTATGGGTAGACATAAAGTAGATTTACTCAATATCATAGTCCATTCCCTTCCCGGTGCCCCTGTAACCTATTATGGTGAAGAAATTGGCATGTCTAATGTTCCCACAGAATGTACCGCCATATCATGTGATGATCGTGATCCCGAAAGAACACCCATGCAATGGAATGCACAAGAAAATGCTGGTTTCTCTCGGGGCTCTACGACCTGGTTACCCATAGCTCAGGATTACAAAATTTATAATGTAGAACAAGAACGTCAAGTGGCCCGTAGCACGTTGCAAATTTACAAGGGTTTGCAAAAGCTTAAGCATAGCAAAGCTTTTAAAAATGTTAAGGGTAAGAATGGCTTCTCGTATAAAGCTGTAAGCGAACAAGTTTTTCAAATAATCCGAGCTAAACCCGATGAAGAAGAATACATGGTTTTGGTTAATATGGGTAACAAATTGGAATCTGTCGAAGGGTTGAGTTCGAAGACTTATGAATTTGTGTTAGTGAGTGCCCATTCTACTCACAATAAGGGGTAAGTTTATCTTTTAATATAAATTGATAAATTTCTATCTTATTTTTATACTTTTTTCAGCGATAAAGTCAATTTAAGTGGACGTATTTATTTGATGCCCTACGAAGCCATTGTATTATATTGGTTTAAACGATAAAGATTGTAAATTACTAATCGAGTTGTAATGTCTTGTCATAAATATTTATACAAATGTTTTCATAATAAAACATATTACCCTTATTGTATTTTTTGTTTGTTTTTGAAGTGGATTATTGTTTAATGGACGATGGATTGATAGAACTGAAAGAACTGAACTGGGACTGAAGTAAAACTGAACTAGATCTGAACTAAAACTCAACTAGAACTGAACTAGAACTAAACTATAACTGAACTAGAACTGAACTAGAACTGGACTAGAACTGAACTAGAACTGAACTAGAACTGAACTAGAACTGAACTAAAACTGAACTAGAACTGAACTAGAACTGAACTATAACTGAACTATAACTGAACTATAACTGAACTAGAACTGAACTAGAACTGAACTAGAACTGAACTAGAACTGAACTATAACTGAACTATAACTGAACTATAACTGAACTATAACTGAACTAGAACTTAACTAGAACTGAACTAGAACTGAACTAGAACTGAACTAGAACTGAACTAGAACTGAACTAGAACTGAACTAGAACTGAACTAGAACTGAACTAGAACTGAACTAGAACTGAACTAGAACTGAACTAGAACTGAACTAGAACTGAACTAGAACTGAACTAGAACTGAACTAGAACTGAACTAGAACTGAACTAGAACTGAACTAGAACTGAACTAGAACTGAACTAGAACTGAACTAGAACTGAACTAGAACTGAACTAGAACTGAACTAGAACTGAACTAGAACTGAACTAGAACTGAACTAGAACTGAACTAGAACTGAACTAGAACTGAACTAGAACTGAACTAGAACTGAACTAGAACTGAACTAGAACTGAACTAGAACTGAACTAGAACTGAACTATAACTGAACTATAACTGAACTAGAACTGAACTAGAACTGAACTAGAACTGAACAAGAACTGAACTAGAACTGAACTAGAACTGAACTAGAACTGAACTAGAACTAAACTAGAACTGAACTAGAACTGAACTAGAACTGAACTAGAACTGAACTAGAACTGAACTAGAACTGAACTAGAACTGAACTAGAACTAAACTAGAACTGAACTAGAACTGAACTAGAACTGAACTAGAACTGAACTAAAACTGAACTAGAACTGAATTAGTATCGAACTTGAACTGAACTAACACTAAACTAGAACTAAACTAGATCTGAACTAGAAGTGAACCGGAACCAAAATTTATCTACAAACTAGTTTTTGAATTCGTACTATGAAATTTATTATATTTACATTTTATTAATCTTAAACAGTCTTAAGAACAACCGCTTCTTTAGGCATTAATAATACTGAGGCTGTATCCAAGTAATCACCTTTACGTCTAGGACTAGTATCGGTTACTAGAGCATATTGCAGTTTAGAGGACAGACCATAAAACGAGTTATTCAAATTTAAAGATTCCACATTGTTGCCTAAGTTTAGCAGAATAACATAGGAAGGATAGCCGCCCAAGGAACTAAAAAGTAAGAAAAGAAAACTGATTTTTAAAAGCTTACAATATAAAAATGGAAAATTCTACCGTTTAATAGCCAAAACTCCCGCACTTAAAGCTTTTACCTCACCCAGGCCTTGCTGTAAAGTAGGCTCTCTTCTTAGTTCTTGCAATTGTTTATAGATATTCAAATGACTTTGAGAAATGCCTCTCTCACGCTTAACATTAACCAATTTATAATTATCCGCTACTGGCAGCCAGGTGGAAGAACCTTCTGTGAAACCGGCAAAAGGGTCATCATTCCATTGGAAGGGAGTACGCACCGGATCACGTGTTAATCTTTCATAGTTTTGGGGATTCGACTGACAAGCCTGAGGATCTACGGTGTCATTCCAGGAAATCCAAACATCTGTCATGCCAATTTCCTCACCCTGATAGTTAACACTGCAACCGGGTAGAGTCAATACCAACATATTGATTAAGTCAATTTTATCTTCTCCCAAACGTGAGGCTACACGATTACTATCATGATTACCCACCACCCAATTGGCAGATCTACCTTCGGGCATATTACTCAACCAATTGTTGATCAGTTCCTCGTAGTGATAGGCCGTAGAATCGTTCTTCAAATTACTAATTAATTCAAAATTAAAGGGGATCTGAGCACCATCATGTGTGGCATTGCCATAATACTGCATGATCACATCCAAAGGAGCATAGGCTTCAGTCATTAGAATGCGATCATCACCTCCCAACTCTTTATTCATTTCTTCCATTACCTCACGGAATTGATAAATCATATCAATAGTTTCCGGTTGATTGGTGGTATAAATATGTTGATAATATTCATAATCTTCAGGATCATTATTATTGGGATTGCGTGGTTCATCGGGGTAATTGCCATCACTATCGGGAGCAATTTCAAAACTGTGAGGTACAGCGTCGACACGAAAACCGGAAGCACCTTTGCGCAACCAGAAACGTAAAACATCCTAAAGTGAAAAATAACACATTCTTTAAGAATTGTTTTTTCTATTCATCGATTTTCTTACCTTCATGGCTTCCATAACTTTAGGATTACGATAATTCAAATCCGGTTGCTTAGCATGGAATTGATGCAAATAAAAGGCCTGTCTTCCCTCATGCCAAGTCCACATACTACCACGGAACACACTGATCCAGGTGGTTGGAGGCTGTCTCACACCATCAACAATTTTACCCGGATGCCAAACATAAAAGTCTTTATAGGTAGGATCATTGGCCGCCGATTTAATAAACCATTCGCACTCATCACTAGTGTGATTGGGTACAAAATCTAAAATAATTTTTACACCAATCTTTTTGGCAGTCTCTACTAAAGCCTCAAAATCCTCCATGGTACCAAATATGGGATCAATTTCAGTAAGATTGGCTACATCATAACCAAAATCAGCCATAGGAGAGGTGAAAATAGGAGACAGCCAAGTGGCGGTAATACCGATTTCCTTTAAATAAGGCAGCTGTTGGGTAACACCTAGAATATTTTTAATATTTGTCAAACCTTTATGGATTGAAAAAGCTTGCTGACAAACCTTTCAAATCACCCACTCCATCACCATCACTATCCTTAAAAGATCTGGGATAGATTTGATAAAAAGAGGCCGTTTGCCACCACTTTAAATTTTCAGCTTGTGAACTCACTAGAAATACTGCCAACACTACAAAAAGTTGGCCCAACCTTAACTTTACTCGAACCATGTTGATCACTGCACTGTTTAAAGACAAATAAGTGTCTTATTTTAAAAATTTTTAGTTTTTAATCAAAAATACCTTAAACATAAATTTGATAAGATTTTTACTTTTATTTTAACTTAAGTAGATGTTGTTGTTTACGGTACCGATATCAGTTGTGGATTAGTGAGTATTTTTTCATTGATTATTGTTTTATTTAGAGTGCAGTAAATTAGTAAGAACTGAATATTTATAACCGTTTGTATATTTTTTTTAAATAACAATATAAGCACGTATTTGTTAGCTGGTAATTGGATTTAATTACTTTTCAATGCATTTGTAAATTATTTAAAATCCCTTAACAGTTGTGGGGGGTAATCATTGTAGAATGGTCCGTCTAGAATTTATTTTTGAATTAGATAAGGTTTTACATGAGATTACAATCGATTTTTAAATAATTGATTTTATTTAACTCGTTGCAAATGAATTGGATCAAAAATATTGGCCTAGTTAAGTTCTGGTTCTGTTATAGTTCAGTTCTAGTTCAGTTCTAGTTCAGTTCTAGTTCAGTTCTAGTTCAGTTCTAGTTCAGTTCTAATTCAGTTCTAGTTCCGTTCTAGTTCAGTTCTAGTTCAGTTCTAGTTCAGTTCTAGTTCAGTTCTAGTTCAGTTCTAGTTCAGTTCTAGTTCAGTTCTAGTTCAGTTCAAGTTCAGTTCTAGTTCAGTTCTAGTTCAGTTCTAGTTCAGTTCTAGTTCAGTTCTAGTTCAGTTCTACTTCAGTTCTACTTCAGTTCTAGTTCAGTTCTAGTTCTAGTTCAGTTCTAGTTCAGTTCTAGTTCAGTTCTAGTTCAGTTCTAGTTCAGTTCTAGTTCAGTTCTAGTTCAGTTCTAGTTCAGTTCTAGTTCAGTTCTAGTTTAGTTCTAGTTCAATTCTAGTTCAGTTCTAGTTCAGTTCTAGTTCAGTTCTAGTTCAGTTCTAGTTCAGTTCTAGTTCAGTTCTAGTTCAGTTCTTGTTCAGTTCTAGTTCAGTTCTAGTTCAGTTCTAGTTCAGTTCTAGTTCAGTTCTAGTTCAGTTCTAGTTCAGTTCTAGTTCAGTTCTAGTTCAGTTCTAGTTCAGTTCTAGTTCAGTTCTAGTTCAGTTCTAGTTCAGTTCTAGTTCAGTTCTAGTTCAGTTCTAGTTCAGTTCTAGTTCAGTTCTAGTTCAGTTCTAGTTCAGTTCTAGTTCAGTTCTAGTTCAGTTCTAGTTCAGTTCTAGTTCAGTTCTAGTTCAGTTCTAGTTCAGTTCTAGTTCAGTTCTAGTTCAGTTCTAGTTCAGTTCTAGTTCAGTTCTAGTTCAGTTCTAGTTCAGTTCTAGTTCGGTTCTAGTTCAGTTCTAGTTCAGTTCTAGTTTAGTTCGAGTTCAGTTCTAGTTCTAGTACAGTTCTAGTTCAGTTCTAGTTCTGTTCTAGTTCAGTTCTAGTTCTGTTCTAGTTCAGTTCTAGTTCAGTTCTAGTTCAGTTCTAGTTCTAGTTCAGTTCTAGTTCAGTTCTAGTTCAGTTCTAGTTCAGTTCTAGTTCAGTTCTAGTTCAGTTCTAGTTCAGTTCTAGTTCAGTTCTAGTTCAGTTCTAGTTCAGTTCTAGTTCAGTTCTAGTTCTAGTTCAGTTCTAGTTCAGTTCCAGTTCAATTCTAGTTCAGTTCTAGTTCAGTTCTAGTTCAGTTCTAGTTCAGTTCTAGTTCAGTTCTAGTTCAGTTCTAGTTTAGTTCTAGTTCAGTTCTAGTTCAGTTCTAGTTCAGTTCTAGTTCAGTTCTAGTTCAGTTCTAGTTCAGTTCTAGTTCAGTTCTAGTTTAGTTCTAGTTCAGTTCTAGTTCAGTTCTAGTTCAGTTCTGGTTCAGTTCTAGTTCAGTTCTAGTTCAGTTCTAGTTCAGTTCTAGTTCAGTTCTAGTTCAGTTCTAGTTCAGTTCTAGTTCTAGTTCAGTTCTAGTTCAGTTCCAGTTCAATTCTAGTTCAGTTCTAGTTCAGTTCTAGTTCAGTTCTAGTTCAGTTCTAGTTCAGTTCTAGTTCAGTTCTAGTTCAGTTCTAGTTCAGTTCTAGTTCAGTTCTAGTTCAGTTCTAGTTTAGTTCTAGTTCAGTTCTAGTTCAGTTCTAGTTCAGTTCTAGTTCAGTTCTAGTTCAGTTCTAGTTCAGTTCTAGTTCAGTTCTAGTTCAGTTCTAGTTCAGTTCTAGTTCAATTCCAGTTTTTTTCTAGGTTTAATTGAGTTTTACATTTATTCCTAGTTCAATTAATTTCTCTTCACCTCCTCATTTTCCTGACCACTACTACATCATATTTATGCTTAATGGCACAACATCAAATCAAAACTACAATAAAGATATGAAATTTTATAACGTTATAAATAGCTATCAATTATCGCCTAAATTCATTTCATTTTCTAATCACTATAAAATAAAATTAAGTAGTAAAGATAAACAAAATTTCCTTAATACTATTACGAAAGTCATAAAGAATAGAAATTTTAAGCTTTCTAAAGAACATAATCAGGCCAATGCAATTAATAGTCAGCAAGCATGGCAAGCAAGTGGACGTTAGCGGTAGCAGTGCTGTTAGCAGTTTGTAGTTATACACTCACAGAAGCTAAAACTAAAGCATGGTGGGAAACGGCCTCATTCTATCAAATCTATCCACGTTCTTTTAAGGACTCCGATGGTGATGGTGTGGGTGATTTAAAGGGTGTAACCAGTAAGTTGGCGTACTTGAAGGAAATAGGCATAGCAGCTACTTGGCTATCGCCTTTTCTCAAATCCCCCATGGCCGATTTTGGTTATGATATTTCCAATTTTACTGAGGTAGATCCCTTGTTTGGTACCATGGAAGATTTTGAGGAATTAATGAAAAAATCCAAGGAACAGGGTGTAAGAATAATATTGGATTTTGTGCCCAACCATTCGAGTGATGAGTGTGAGTGGTTTATAAAATCGGCCAATAGAGATCCGGAGTATAAAGACTATTATGTATGGCATCCGGGTAAAATTGTGAATGGTACCAGAACGGTGCCCAATAATTGGGTCAGTGTATTTAGAGGTTCAGCCTGGGAATGGCATGAGGGGCGTCAGGAGTATTATTTACATCAGTTCCATAAAAAGCAACCGGATTTCAATTTCCGCAATCCCAAAGTTCGAGAGGCAATGAATGTAAGTTTTAGAAATCTTTTATGGAAAATTTTTAAATTGAGTTCTTTGCAGAATATTTTACGTTTTTGGTTGGAAAAAGGCATTGATGGCTTTCGCGTAGATGCTATATATCATGCTTTTGAAATAGCTCCCGATGCTGAAGGTAATTATCCAGATGAGCCACGCAATGATTGGACTAATGATCCAGATGATTATGGTTATGTGCATCATATCTACACTGTGGATCAACCAGAAACTCCTCATTTGGTATATGAATGGCGTCAGGTTTTGCAACAATTCCAAAAGGATCATGGCGGCGATGAAAGGTAGTGTTTCAATTTGCATGTAAAAAATTAAATTTTATTGAAAATATTGCTGTCTGCAGAATCCTTATGGTTGAAACCTGGTCTCCCATAGAAATAGTCATGCAATATTATGGCAATTCTACAGCAGAGGGCGCTCAAATCCCTTTCAATTTTCAAATGATCAGTTATCTGTGGAATGATTCTGATGCCTATCATTATGCCAATTTGATTAATGAATGGCTGAATAAAATGCCTGCTGGACGTACCGCCAATTGGGTGGTGGGTAATCATGATAAAAATCGTGTGGGTTCTCGTTTTGGTGCAGATCGTATTGACATGTTTAATATGTTGCTATTGACTTTACCTGGCTGCAGTGTAACCTATAATGGCGAAGAGATTGGCATGACTGATGTCTGGATTTCTTGGCAAGAAACTGTTGATCCTCAGGCCTGTAATGGTGCAGAGGACGGTTACGAAAGTCGTTCACGTGATCCAGCCCGTACACCCTTCCAGTGGAGTGATGAGTTAAATGCTGGATTTTCTACTGGTAACACCACATGGTTGCCGGTGAGTCCTCAGTATAAGACGGAAAATCTTAAACGTCAACGTGGTATTTCTCTCAGTCATTTGAATATTTTCAAACAATTGCAATTGTTGAGAGCGGAAAGCACTTTGAGAGATGGTGAAACAGAGGTTAAGGCATATAATCATGATGTTTTGGCTGTTAAGCGGTGAGTATATATTGCAGATCTTGTTATAATGCTTTAGTCATGCTTAAAAGTTTCTTAAAGCTTCAAACTCTTCTGAAAACATAAACTCTTTTAAGGAAAGCTTTAACTCCCTAATTAGGCTAAAAATCATTAATAAAGCTTAAACATTTTAGTAAATCTTAAAAGCTTTAGAAAAACTTAAAAGCTTTAGTAAAGTCTAAAAGCTTTATAAATAGTTAAAAGCTTTAGTTAAGCTTTAAAGTTACTATAACTGTTTAAAAGATTTAGTAAACCTTTAAAGTTTAAGTAAACTTTAAAAGTTTAAGTAAAGCTTAAAATAGAGCTTTAAAATTCTTAAAAGCTTTTGTTAAGCTTGAAAGTTTTGTAAATTTTAAAATCCATAGTAAAGCTTAAAAGCTTTAGTAAAACGTAAAAGCTTTTGTTAAGCTTTAGGAAAGCTTAAAAGCTTTAGAAAGCTTAAAAGCTTTAGTAAGCTTAAAAGTTTTAATAGAGCTTTAAAATTCTTAAAAGCTTTTTAAATTTTAAAAACTTACGTAAAGCTTAAAAGCTTTAGTAGAACTTAAAAGCTTTGAAATTTCAAAATCTTAAGTAAAGCTTAAAAGCTTTAGTACAAAAGCTTTTTAACCGTAGAATCATCACTTTAAATCAACTTGTCCTTTGCAGTTCCCTTGTCGGTGATTTCACTTTCATAACCCTGATGAACATCTTTGATTCGGTACAAACGATCAACTTAAATGAACTTTTCAGCAACTTATCCCCAGAATTTGAATATGTTGTGGTAACAGATAAATCCATTAGAAGAAACGGGTAAGCTTGAAAAACTGGTTTCTAAAGAATACAACTTCTAAATAATCTCCTATTTTTCTTAAATCTTTAGCGATAAAGTTTCCAGCAATAGTGTAGTGCTATTACCCAAGGAAGCAGTTGTTATTAAATCAACTAAAAAAGCATAAAATTGTATGGAATAACAAATTGTGCTGACTGTGAAATTTTCCTATGTTTTATTTATGATACAAAATAAAACAGAATGAATAAATGTTTTTTTATACTGAATATTTTAAATAAGTGAAGTTTTAGTAGTTTGTTGAGAAAATGAGCTTTCAAAAAGGAGGTGGGTAAACTAAATGTAAATAATAAGAAATTCAAAGCAAAAACTTTTCATAGAGAACATATACTTTAAGGCAAATTTAGACAAAAAATTACTATAAAGAGAATTACATTTGTTGTCAAATTCTATTTTGTTTGAATTTATTTAAACAAAATTCAATTTTTTTTTTTTGAGAAAGCTCTCATTTAAACAAAACTCATTGAAATGAGTGTGTGATCTCTTAGAATCCCCTCATTTCGGTGCGCTCACCTTCCCCTTTTATTTGTGTGATCATTTGTTTATTTTGCATATGTATGTTTAGCGATCCTCTCTTTACCCACTTTTGATGTACACTTGATATTCTAACATACGTACTTTGTGAATGTACATTATTTTAATTTATGTATTTATATGCGCACGCAATAATTTCAAACAACAAATTAATTTTCTAACCATGGGATTATGGGGATCGTGTACATGTTCACCAAATCTGTGTGCACTTAAAACCACAAACAAAAACTCATTTGTACCCATTGATAAGGTCATAATTATAAATTTAAGATCAACAACCAAGAAATGTTTTTTCATGGATGATTAAAAAAAAAAAACTGAAATAATAATTCTTATCGCCGAATTGTTGTTATTTTTTCAGGCTAAAGTCATGCATCATAACTGTGAATAATGACGTTTTGTTATCAATAATAACAATACAATTTAATAACAATACATAAAAGTACTTCATTGCTACACATAAATTAAACTTAGTGTTTTTTGGGGGCAAAAGGTAGATGTACTTATTGTACTTATAACTAACTAACTAACTAACTAACTAACTAACTAACTAACTAACTAACTAACTAACTAACTAACTAACTAACTAACTAACTAACTAACTAACTAACTAACTAACTAACTAACTACTAACTAACTAACTAACTAACTACTAACTAACTAACTAACTAACTAACTAACTAACTAACTAACTAACTAACTACTAACTAACTAACTAACTAACTAACTAACTAACTAACTAACTAACTAACTAACTAACTAACTAACTAACTAACTAACTAACTAACTAACTAACTAACTAACTAACTAACTAACTAACTAACTACTAACTAACTAACTAACTAACTAACTAACTAACTAACTAACTAACTAACTAACTAACTAACTACTAACTAACTAACTAACTAACTAACTAACTAACTAACTAACTAACTAACTAACTAACTAACTAACTAACTAACTAACTAACTAACTAACTAACTAACTAACTAACTAACTACTAACTAACTAACTACTAACTAACTAACTAACTAACTAACTAACTAACTAACTAACTAACTAACTAACTAACTAACTACTAACTAACTAACTAACTAACTAACTAACTAACTAACTAACTAACTAACTAACTAACTAACTAACTAACTAACTAACTAACTACTAACTAACTACTAACTAACTAACTAACTAACTAACTAACTAACTAACTAACTAACTAACTACTAACTAACTAACTAACTACTAACTAACTAACTAACTAACTAACTAACTAACTAACTAACTAACTAACTAACTAACTAACTAACTACTAACTAACTAACTAACTAACTAACTAACTAACTACTAACTAACTAACTAACTAACTAACTAACTAACCTACTAACTAACTAACTAACTAACTAACTAACTAACTAACTAACTAACTAACTAACTAACTAACTAACTAACTAACTAACTAACTAACTAACTAACTAACTAACTAACTAACTAACTAACTAACTAACTAACTAACTAACTAACTAACTAACTAACTAACTAACTACTAACTAACTAACTAACTAACTAACTACTAACTAACTAACTAACTAACTAACTAACTAACTAACTAACTAACTAACTAACTAACTAACTAACTAACTAACTAACTAACTAACTAACTAACTAACTAACTAACTAACTACTAACTAACTAACTAACTAACTAACTACTAACTAACTAACTAACTAACTACTAACTAACTAACTAACTAACTAACTAACTAACTAACTAACTAACTAACTAACTAACTAACTAACTAACTAACTAACTAACTAACTAACTAACTAACTAACTAACTAACTAACTAACTAACTAACTAACTAACTAACTAACTAACTAACTAACTACTAACTAACTAACTAACTAACTAACTACTAACTAACTAACTAACTAACTAACTAACTAACTAACTAACTAACTAACTAACTAACTAACTAACTAACTAACTAACTAACTAACTAACTAACTAACTAACTAACTAACTAACTAACTAACTAACTAACTAACTAACTAACTAACTAACTAACTAACTAACTAACTAACTAACTAACTAACTAACTAACTAACTAACTAACTAACTAACTAACTAACTAACTAACTAACTAACTACTAACTAACTAACTAACTAACTAACTAACTAACTACTAACTAACTAACTAACTAACTAACTAACTAACTAACTAACTAACTAACTAACTAACTAACTAACTAACTAACTAACTAACTAACTAACTAACTACTAACTAACTAACTAACTAACTAACTAACTAACTAACTAACTAACTAACTAACTAACTAACTACTAACTAACTAACTAACTAACTAACTAACTAACTAACTAACTAACTAACTAACTAACTAACTAACTAACTAACTAACTAACTAACTAACTAACTAACTAACTAACTAACTAACTAACTAACTAACTAACTAACTAACTAACTAACTAACTAACTAACTAACTAACTAACTAACTAACTAACTAACTAACTAACTAACTAACTAACTAACTAACTAACTAACTAACTAACTAACTAACTAACTAACTAACTAACTAACTAACTAACTAACTACTAACTAACTAACTACTAACTAACTAACTAACTAACTAACTAACTAACTAACTAACTAACTAACTAACTAACTAACTAACTAACTAACTAACTAACTAACTAACTAACTAACTAACTAACTAACTAACTAACTAACTAACTAACTAACTAACTACTAACTAACTAACTAACTAACTAACTAACTAACTAACTAACTAACTAACTAACTAACTAACTAACTAACTAACTAACTAACTAACTAACTAACTAACTAACTAACTAACTAACTAACTAACTAACTAACTAACTAACTAACTAACTAACTAACTAACTAACTAACTAACTAACTAACTAACTAACTAAACTAACTAACTAACTAACTAACTACTAACTAACTAACTAACTAACTAACTAACTAACTAACTAACTAACTAACTAACTAACTAACTAACTAACTAACTAACTAACTAACTAACTACTAACTAACTAACTACTAACTAACTAACTAACTAACTAACTAACTAACTAACTACAACTAACTAACTAACGAACTAACTAACTAACTAACTAACTAACTAACTAACTAACTAACTAAACTAACTAACTACTACTAACTAACTAACTAACTAACTAACTAACAACTAACTAACTAACTACTAACTAACTAACTAACTAACTAACTAACTAACTAACTAACTAACTACTAACTAACTAACTAACTAACTAACTAACTAACTAACTAACTAACTAACTAACTAACTAACTAACTAACTAACTAACTAACTAACTACTACTCTACTAACTAACTAACTAACTAACTAACTAACTAACTAACTAACTAACTAACTAACTAACTAACTAAATCCTCAATTAACTAACTAAAATTTAGTTAAAATCCTCAATTTTTCTTAAAATACTATTTCTAAACTCTATTTTTCCCAAAAAAATCGATTTATTACTAAAAATTATATTTTTCCCCAAAAAATCGATTTTTTACTAAAAATTTTATTTTTTCCAAAAAATCGTTTTTTTTCAAAAAGTAGATTTTTTTACTAAAAATTCGATTTTTTACTAAAAATACGATTTTTTACTAAAAATTCGATTTTTTACTAAAAATTCGACTTCTTACTAAAAATTCGATTTTTTTTACTAAAAATTTGATTTTTTGTTGTTTTACTAAAAATCCGATTTTCCACTAAAAATTTGATTTTCATTAAAATTTCAATTTTCATTAAAATTTAAATTTTTTACAAAAAATTTAATTTTTTATTAAAAATTTAATTTTTTGCCACTTTTTTACTAAAAGTTCAATTTTTACTAGAACATCAAATTTAAAGAAATCCAAATTTGCTAATTTCCAAAATTTTTTTATTTAAACAAATTATTTTAAATTAATGTTCCAGTAATTATTTGAATTAAAATGTATTTGGCAACTCTTTAATTTAAAAAATTTTAACAAAGCAGTATTTTCCCACTTTATTGTTAATTTCTTATTAATATCTTTTTCGCCATAAAAAATTTTTAACAAAAAATACACAAACAAATTGTAATTTAATAATTCTCCCCCTTCATTAATGCCTCTCTTTAGCGGTCACATTTGTTTACAAACAAATATGCAATTTTAAGAAATTAATAAAAAAAACAACAACAAAATATTGATCTTTGTATTTAGCAGCGAAGTAAACAAATAAAATAACAGCGATCACAAATTGAAGGAGAGAGAGAGAGAGCGAAAATGAACTGTTGAAAAAGTAAAAGAAAACATTAGTGAGTGCGAAGCAGAGATGGAAAATTGAGTGCTATGGTTATTTCTTTAGTACTATTTGAACATTTAGTACTTTTTTTATTAATTTTAAATGTTTAAATAGTAAAAAACCAAACAAAGAGATTTAATTTTTTAATTTGTTTAATACATCTCAAGATTTAAATGTTTTTAAATTAAAATTTATAATTATATTGCGATCTTGAAAAAAATACTTTTATTTCGTATTTAGTACCATTTCCACATTCGCAATTTTCCCTGCCTGACTGTGATCATTTAAATATTTGTTTGTAATGAAAATAAATATTTGTTTTTAGTTGACAATTTGCCA